GATAATTACCTCCCCTTTGTCATTATACCACAGATCTTCGTGGAGTCTGTAGGGGTGTTTTTTACTCTTGTTCAGGGCCTCAAGCCACTCCTCCTCTTTCTTTGGCTCCTCCCCCTCCTCCTCCTCAGATTCAGACTCAGAGCTACTAGAACTGCTGCTCTCGTCACCTGACACATAAAACAATTAACTTCAGTAGTGCTGCAGCAGGTGAACTTTTAAACAGGAGTTGCAAATAGTGTTCTAATAGGGCATGAAAAAAGTTAACTAAAATACTATGAAATGACCTCTGGAAATGCTATTTGTTTAACAGAATGACCTTTAAAGGTTCACAGATTGAATTTTTCCATGCAAATGGTGCACTTTCCATGCAAATGATGGTTTTCCATGCAAAATGGTGTTTCATGAAGCAAAGAGGACTAAATATAAATGTATCTAATCAATTTGTAACTGACATTATGTACAGTATTAAATTAAATATACATTGTTAATATCCTAATATTAAATACAGGATATTTCAAAATACATGCAATCTACAAAAAAAAAAAAAAAAAAAAAAAAAATTTAGGCAAAATCAATGAGGAAAAAAACCAAGTGAAGCTCAAACTCATGATCTATTGTGAAACAACTGAATGCTATGAACAACTGGACTACAAATTTGGATAAAAATATTACTAGGACAAGTGAATGTCAAATGAAATTGACATTTACATATAAACTGTATGCAAGATTATATTTGAATGGTTATGACCATGTGTTATTCCTCCTTAAGAAAGCCTCTGTTGTTTACCTGAATGATGGTGATGATGACGGTTCTCTACCACAGGACGCTCGGGAATATTAACTGGAGGTCGAGACTCTTTGACTCGAGTTGATCTCAGTACCAACTCAGTTTCAAATTTCTCTACTAAATCCTGCATTCGTTTTGTAGCATTGAAACATCCAGTCTGCACAGAAAATGCAAAGCATTTTGACAACATAGCAATATTTCGTCAAAGAGTCGAGAAAAACAAAAGAAACATCAATATTGGCAATGACCCTCGACAATTTCCCCAATGCAAAAGATTTTTTTGCTCTTTCTCACAACAAAATATTTCAGGTCATGAAATGCTGAACCAAAAAAATTTCTAGGGCAGAAAGAACATGATTTTCCTGCCAATTAATATAAAAATATACGTGTATGCTAGAAAATGGAGTTTCCAAGTAGAGACAATCACAATTTTCTTTGAAAACTTCCTATCCATACTTAGTTAACTAACATCAGATATATTTCAGGCTCAGTGAAACAATTTGCCTCTCTTATAAATGAAGTAAGGTAGTAAAATATCACCTTAATTTTTATCTTGATAATATGTAGGTCATACATGTACCTCATTGTTTCTTCTGAAGTAGAGATCAGCAGGTGAACATCTGAGCCATGCTGGAATGATCTCCTCTGGAAGTTCTATCTCATCCTGTCCATTTAGCATGTCATACTCCGAACGACCATCAGACTGTCGACCTTGACCCCTGTCTCTTCTGATAGGACTTCGGGATCGCCTTGGACTGGATCTCCTACTAAAAATAGTGACTTCAAATAATTTTTTCATCCACAAAGGTATTATATTTCATTGGTGATATACCGACACCTCAACAACATATTTCAAAATTTAATAAAAAGCATCAGTTCTAACACTTTTTTGTATCTTTCAAATACTTCATCTCAAGTGAAGGCATCACTTCAAATATCCAGCTGAGCCAAATCTCAACCGAGATTAGCAAATACTATGTGAGGATAGCTCATTACAGAACAGCTAGTATTCATGCAAATCTAAAGCCTGGTAATTATTACCTGGTCCTGCTCCTGTCTGTCTGACCTCTGTTTCTATCTGGTCTGTATCTCCTGTCATCCCTTGAGTCTGTACTTCTGTCTCTTTCCCTCCTGTCCCCCTCACGACCCCCGCGGCCAAATTTCCTGTCATATGACCTCCCATCTCTCCAGCTTCCTGAGCTCTTGGATTCATCTCTTCTTTCTCTTGTTCTACTTTCATCTCTGTTTTACAGAAAAAAGAATTAAAAATGAGTTGACTTGAGTGCTACCACTTAAGGAAACATTGAGATTATCTGTTATCTGATATTTCTGATTAAAGTTATAGGTAATTTTTTATAAAAACAAACCTTGAACAATTAAGCTTTAAAACTCAAATAAATACACCTTTCCCAACATCTATTTAATACTCACCTAGATCTATCCCCTCTTTCTGATCTCCCTCTGTCTCTTCTATCCCTCCTATCCTCACGGTCAGACCTCTCTCTTTCTCGTCCACTTCGTTCCCGATCCTCCTTCCTGTTAGCTTGACCAACTCCAGGAGATGGCTGACCAGTCTGATTCTGACCAACAGGAGAGATTCCTTGCTGGAACAGGCCTGCTTGAAGTCCCACCATGTTCTGCGCTATATTTGGTATCATCCCAGGTGCTCGGATGTTAGGTGTGTCTAGAATACCTAGCCCTGATCCTGGGGGTGGCAACTACAGAATATGTCAAGATTTCACATAACATATCGAGTGCTGTGAACAGTTTTCTTCTTTGCTCATGCATATTTTCAAGTGTTCCATTAAAATTCTGTTTTCATTCAAATTTGAATTTTCTGTTTTAATTTTCATTATTTTTTCATTCAAGATATTTAGTGACAATTTACAGCAAAATTTTAATTGTAAAAGGATGTCCGTAGATAATAAGATACAAAAACCTTACAATAAATTCCTTTACCTGTATATTAAGACCAGGAATCATTGGTGTCATTCCTCTTTGAAACATCTGATTGGTTCCTGTCACAATGCCTCCAGCACCAGGAAGCATCTGATTGGTCCCTGTCATATTAACTGCTGAAGATGACAACATTTGATTGGCTCCCTGCTGCATCATTTGAAGGTTTGCCATTGCCTGATTAGCCATTCCTTGTCTAAGACCTTGCAAAGCACCTGGTGCTCGAGCATTCCACATTGCAGTCCCTAAAAGACATGGCAGTATTCAATGTATGTAAATAATTTGTACAATACTCAACACACACAAACAAAATATATACAGAAGAAGTTCAGTATCTCGAACATCAAGAATACGGAGACATCAAAAACATGGAGATGTCAAAGTGAGTTGGAAGTCTAAGTAACTTCTTCTTTATTAACTTTTCTAAAAATGAAATCTATCATATCTTGAAAAACAATATGTAGTACTTTTTAAATAACCCTCTTAATTGAATTATTTAATTTTAACCAACTCAGAAATAAAGATTACAGTTAAGATGCAATGATGTAGTGATTTCTAATTCCTAAACACATAATGAGCTAACCTGCATTCTGCAAAGTTGCTGGATTAAAAAGCTGCATGTTTGGTGCTACAGACATTTGGAGCCCCATCATTTGCTGTAAGTTGCCTGGAGACCTCCCCTGCAGTAACATATTACTCTGTTGCAGCATCCCAGGGTTTGTGAGGGGAGACATGTTGTTTCCTGAACTCTACAAAATTTTTTTCTGTTTTAATACATAACCATAGTCTAAGGCACATAAGTTGCTACATCTCATAGGCAAGAGCTCACAGGCAAGAAGCAGGTATGGCCCAGCCTAAAGCAAATTATATACATGTATTCTTGATACATACATGACGATCATCTTCATTGTAAATTAGCTAATGCATACTGCCAGAGAGATATATATATATGTATACCGGTACATGACCATCATGTGAAAAAGCTATTTACACTACTGCTGAGCAAATAGCTACTGCAATTGCAAAAGACTGTTGTGTGCATAATTTAGTGAAAAATCTATCTAGACAACTGCTTACTAACAGAAAACTCTGGAGATGTTTAGACATTTAAATAGCTTAAAAAGTATGTTGCATTTGTGAATGTGCATTTAAAAAATAAAACAGATTTAAATTAAACAACGTCAAGGGTCCTAAGTCCACTTTTGGTTGTGGGACCCGACAAACTTAATTCATTCAAATTTTTATGGTCTAACTGCAGCGAGGTCAATCAGGGAAAATTACAGTCCTGATTGTTTTCTTATCTCTCAACTGATCACATTAAGCCTTTTGGAGACAACCTGTAACACATGCACTGAAGTGTCAATTGCTTACTTTCTGTTTACTTTTTATGTCAACTTATGAAAGTCCTATTTTGATTGGAGCTTCTCAATGAGAGAAGCTTGTATGATATAAAACAAATGAAGTAAGGGATCCTAGACCATGGGTGGATCCTTGACATAGTGAACATAACGGTTGAACATGACAGTTGTGCGAATAGCAAAACAAAAAAAATTTGTAAAAGATGGTCGTGCAAATAGCCAGTGAAAATGTAAGTGAACCAAGGTCGTGCAATAATAGCTGGTGAGAACTTGCATGAACAACAGTCATGCACATAGACACTGCCAAAAAATTGATAGGTTAGGATGAGAACAAAAAAGATACCTTTTGTTATCTCGAATTTTAATAGCTCTCCACAAAACATATGTCGAAATGAGTTGAAAGTCCCAACTGCTTTTACTTTGAATATTTTAACCTCCATATCTTGAATCATTGCCTATCTCAAAGTTTCCTATCTGATTTGAGATAACAAGGTTTGACTGTATCTAGAAATGCCCTCTAGGCGTTTCATGTTCACATGAATATTTCTGTTCATTCCCTCAGTTGTATGTTTACCTGTATTATTTATGTGTTTGTCTATGTGTTTGTCTTTCACAAAGACAAACACTGCAAATGCAATGCAATAATCATCACTGAATTTTTGCGAATTATTCAAGCTTACCCTTCCATCATTTCTTATTCCTTGATTTCCAAAGAAATTCATGATAACTTGGAAATACTGCTCATCCGTATATTGGAAAGAAATAGCTACATTAGCTGATAAAACGGACTCACGACATCGTCACCTCATCATCCTTGTCTCTTCCATTCATTTATAGCCATTTTTGAAATGACGAGCCCGATGTAAATTCAACAAGTTAAAAACTAGAACATCGAACGTTTGCCTATCGCACCTGTGATGGGTGCCCGTGTCGATGTAGCGTTCTTGTATGTTTAGAGTTGCAGTATCAGTGATCTCATGCATCCGTAAAAATCCAGAAATCAGGCATATATCGCGGATCCACGTCATGGCAAGCGTGGAAGAAAGAAAGATAAGTGCCATAGTTGGGGCACTGGTGGCAGATGCTGCAGGTAACTTACTTTATTGGTGGTGAACAAATCAGCACCATGTAGAATTGTCCTTGTACAGATCAGCAGTACTAGAATAAGTTAGAAGTGCGAGGTCCGGTTAAAAAAAAGCTTAAAATTAAATATATTATCGATTAATTATAGTGATGACTTAAGTCCTAATTAATTAATTTAGATGTGTCAGTGCATTGACTATATATTGATAAGATTTTTATTGAAAGCTACTTTATGGATTGCAAAATTGAGCATGTTTTGAATTTTTAGCTCAACCTATACACTGGAACTATAAGACCGTCGAGCTGGATGAGTTTCTAAAGGACAAAGATGAAGTTGTATTCTTAGAACCATCCAGAAATCCTTTTTACTGTATCAAGACAGGAAAGCACAGTTGCTATGGAGACCAATCCAGAACCATCCTGAAGTCACTGGTGGAAAATGGGGGTACTAACCCAGTCTCTTGTTCATAAAATTAGGAGTTCATGTAACTTGAAAATTACATGCACAAGTGTGTTTGCAGGATTTTTTTCAGTTGCCATATATTAAATATGCATTAATCAGGTCTGGGCGGCCTCCATTTTTGGAGGATAGCTAAATTCAATATGGCAGCCAAAATTTTTACCATATATGGAAACCGCGTTGCATTGTGGGATAGTTTATCCTCTGATTTCAGAGGATAACACAGGTAATTTTCAAACACCTCGTGCCTACCTTTAATCAGAAAGTGCAAGCACCAGAGTACATGCAAATAAAAGTTCAAACATTAAACTATCGATTGTATGTGGCGATTTGAGATTCTATGTCTAGATATTTTGCAATTTATTTTCAAAGTTAGCACTTTTTGTGCTCCACTATTACTAAATATTTCTTGTTATTTTGTTTTATTTTTTATGATTTTTCTCTATTTAGACAAATAAAAAAGGACTTTAATGTTTCTTTTATATTTTCTTTTAATTAAAAAAAAAGGAAACACATTTTAAGCGTATTTAAAAACGCGAAATATACTCTGCCTTATAATTTAAGCAAATAAAAGTACAAATGGATTGAATGAATAATCATAAAAATAAATAAATAGTTTGAATATAGCATAAGTAAATAAAATAAATAATTTGACGTTTACTAAGAAATTAATATTCATACAGCCATGTGTATACATAAACAAATAAAATATTACAAAGTGATGTGCTTAAGAATTATTAAATAAAAGAAATAATAAATGATTAAACTTAATTTTTCAAAAAAAAAATGTTTATCAAAATTTTTGTACTGCTTCTCACATAATTACGGTACTGGAAAATCAGCATGGTTATAATTAACCTCAGTCACAGGCAGGTAAGTGCAATATTTGTTTTCCAAGCTGTATACCGAATAACTGATTGACGGCAATTACAAAAACATAGTTATATTGATTTAATATCTGGAATTATCCATCATCATATGAAATTGTACTTTTATTTGTTTTATTTCGAAATCAGCGTACGGTTCCTAGATGCAAGAGTTGCTGTTATTTGTTTGGTTAAGAGTTAACTGCCCTTAGTTTTGAAAATTCCCGTAGGTGGCAAGACTGCTATCCTCTGTTTTCAGAGGATAAAATCTATCCTCCAAAAACAGAGGCCGCCTAGACCTGTTAATTGATACATTTAACTTTTGAATTTAGGTGTCAATATTGAAAAATTGAAGAAATCCATGTTTGAGATGTTTGGCCCAGACTCAGAGTATGAAAATGAAGATAATGCTGCTTATAAAGACAAATCAGGTACAAGTTTGTTGGAGATGTGCATGTCAAGAGTGAACACTCTTTGGTATATGCCATAGCACATTACAGTGTACATACATGTATTCTTTTTACTTGGTTTGACAGAACCTTTCTTTATGTAAATGAAAAATATATTTACTTGTATTTTTTCATCAGATGTCGTGAAGAAGGTGTATCCTATCAATACTCCTTGGAGACATGCCAGTATCAAGTCATTCCTGAAAAATTACAGTGAAGGAGCTGAAATTACAGGTACAGTGTAACACGCTTATAGTGAAGTGACAGGAATGAACAATTTTGATTCATTATAAATAATTCGTTATATCCTTCAAGTTCAAAATGTAATTTAGAGCCATGGGGAATGAAAATAACTTCATTGTAAGGTGAATTCATTATAAGCATGTTCGTGATATCCATGTTTTACTGTATAAATAGGGCTGTGCAATAATGTTGATATTCGGGTATATAGTGATTCATTGACCGAAAAATATCGTATTGCAATACTTTTTCTCAGTACCGATATACTGGCAACATTCTTGGGCTTGGGATTTCTTAAGTCAAATATGAAATTTAAGATGGCAGAAATGTTTCAATAGTGCCTAACAGTAATGTTGCTGTTGTATGGTTGCATTTTGTTGAATGTTGAAATCAACATGAACATTTTTGTTCCAACATACCCCGGTATTTACAATAGTTATATACACTCTGCTATAAATGGAGGTTAAAAAATAAGAAAAGATCGTTTTAACTGTTGTTGAAAATATTGCAATGCTTATCGCAAATATGATATAATCAAAATTTAAAAATAAATGCATTATTTAAAATAAAAATATAGTATAGCTGGCTATATACAGTTAAACCTCATTATCTCAAATGATGGGGCTACAAAAAAACTTCAAGATATCTGACAGTTTAAGAAATTGAGGTTAGAATACATAAGGAAAATGTTGCTGGGACTTTGAACTTACTTTGACATATTCATCAAGATACATGTATTAATGTTCAACTGTAACATGTGTCAGTCTTACATTTTATTTCATTCACCAGGGATTGAAGATAATCAGATGGACTGTGTTATCAATATGATCAGTGTGGTGGCCCTTTATGCAGGGAGGCCAGAGATGCTAGACAAAGTAGAGGAAATCATTTCTGTTACTCAGAACTCAGATATCAATGTAGCTGTGGCCTTCACTGCAGCTAGGTGAGTCTCTTAAATACAGTCAAATCTTGTTCTAATCTTGAACTCAATGGGATGGAGAGAAGACTTTGGCATATTTAAGGATTCAAGATATTGAAGTTATAATAGATTTGGAAAAAGTGGTTGGAATTTCCAACTCACTTTGACATATCCAAAATATTGGAGATATGGATGTACAGGATATGCCTAAGTTCATGTTTAAAAACTATGCCAACTTAGTTTTTCTTTTCAAAAGTTGCAACAACCACCATTTTAAAATAACACACTTGAAATATTTTCAGAGAAAAAGAGTACTAAATATAGTTGCCTCAGATTACTGTTTAGAGTTTGTGATAACAGCTGATTATAATGAAAATAAATCTTGTTTATGCAATGTAATTTATAAGGTTACTGGAATACTTCATCCTCCATGGGAAGACACCTGGTTTGGATGCCTTAAATTCCATTTTGGAGGAGATGAAGAATCCTCAAAGACGGAACCCCCAGGATCTAGACAGAGCCATGATAGGTCACATGAAAAAAGTTATAGAGGAGAAGGAAACTGATCATGTGGCTGCTGCCCGGAAATTCAACATCACCTGAGGTAGGTCAGGATATAGGAAAGGCATCAGAGTATCTGCATATTAAATTATGTTACATGATACAAGTAGTATTGTCACATGTAGGTGCTTGCAAAATCTGGTGAAAATTTAAAATACCAGTGTGGGGATACAACTTTATTTGTATACAGCATAGTGGTGGTCAGATAGGATGAATTGCAAAGAATTGTTTGGTTCAATTGGTAAGGTACCAGTTTTATGGGTCATGGGACTAGAATTTCAATCCTTCAGTCTGTTCTCAGTCTAGGGTCTTGAGGTCTCATCTGCACATAATATTTTTCCCATGCCAATATATTGGTGGTAAAGTTAACCTCCGGAATTGACAAGTATCAAAACCCACATATGGAAAAATCTTGAGTCTATATACTGTAAACATACGGTAATTTTTTTCCACGTAAGATTAATTTACGCTTTTATAACACTTGTACTGATAGATGTACATGTATGAACTGAAACTTTGCTTTTCGTTTCCTTTACCAGAATCAATTTAACACGGCAATTATGTTATATTTGTTATATTTTTCTGCACAGCAATACCTGGGGCCTTTCAGTCTGCTGTGCATGGTGTGATTACTAACACCGAGTACACGACTGGGGTCCGTCGTACAATCCGAGCAGGGGGGTGTAACTGTTCCAGGGCCGGATTCATTGGAGCATGTCTAAGTGCTCAGGTAAGGTGCCGTGCTCAGGTAAGGTGCCAAAGGAATAAATTTCTGAATGAAACTTTTCCATAGTATGTTCATGTGTTTGTTTGTCTGTTTTTCTGTCAACAGTTAAACTTTTATCATTCTTCATATTTTCAGTTTCTTTAAAATCAATGTCGCTATTTGGTAAAAGAATTATAAAAGGAACTGAGACCTGTTTCACTGAAAAAAAAATGCTTTCTTTCAAGGAGAGAAAAGTTGCCTTTTTTATAGAACTGCTTTGTGGCTTAATGTTTTTTATTGTTTGTTTTTCCCCTCAGAATGGTTTACAAGGAATTCCAGAAGAATGGAAGAGGAAGACACTATCATATGAAGAAGTTTCTGAGCTGGCCAACAAATTAATTGCAATTCAGTTAGAGTAATTTAAGAACTTTAAGAAATTCAAAGTGAATATGAAATATATCTTTTTTTTTTTTCAAAATTTAATATATATATATAAAAAATCAGTTTGATTTTATTTTTATTGGATGTTGTATTGGTTAATTTTTCTGCCTCATATATACTTTTGGTTTGAATTTTTTTGTTCAGCAACCAAATGAGTGGGTGGATTAAATGATGTAGACATGTATTAATTTTAAGAAGACATTGAAGCACAGATGTGCCTATAGGGCAGCAGTATTTATTCAAACAATGACAATAAATACATGTATCATGACTTTTGAATGGTTATTTTCTGAATTTAGCACACAGATCAACAGATAAATGAAAATCTCTTCTAAATCCTGTACTAAGGGTGATCAGATTTGATGTGAGACACTGCTTATCTGTGTGTTAATTTTAGATGTTCCATTAATGTTGTTTCTTTTTAAACCTATTTCAGTGATACTTTTTAAGTTTTAAAAGTGTCTTCCTTCAAGATAAGAAAGGAGAATGGTTTTGAAAAATATATTGTTGCTAGAATGATTGTTTTTATAATGTATACATTGTTGAAATGTTCTGTTCTAATACACATACTCAGGACTACAAATTTTTATGATTGTTATTTTATAATTTTTTGGAAATGCATTTGATCTTAGAGTAAAATTAAATTTAAGCATGGAATGTCAGCGTTATTTTATCGATTCTCCTCACTACAAACTTTTTGTATTGGCAAATAAAAAGTAGTACTGGTAGAGCTAATTCTGGCAAAAATCATTGATCTGTCAAGAATTTATACATTTCCTTTTTATGTGAATGGCATACTGTCTGGTCAAGAGTAACCTCAACCCTCACCTCACCGTTGTCAAGCAATAGTTCCCAAATGGTTCTCCTGCAGAATTTATTTCAAGTCCAAAAAGTTTCAAACTTGGTCTCAGAGTGATAACTTGTAATCTAGAGCAACCTTTGAGTTCTTTTCCCATTAAAATTGGGTACACAGTTCTGACTTTATGTCATTTGGACAGGTGTCAAAAACTACTGAATAGGAGATGGACAGTGGTCGAGCACATGGCTCAGTGGTCATATGTGTTTGGCCAACTGATATGTAACAGTAACAGGTCACTGGTTCAAATCCCACCATGGTCACTTGATATTGTGTGTTGTGTCCTTGGACAAGGCACTTTATCTGCATTGTCTCAGTTCAGCCAGCTGTGATAGGTACCAGCTTACACTGGGGGGCTAACCTGTGATTGACTGGTACCCCATCCAGGGGGGAGTCAATAACTCTGATACGCTTAGCACCACAGAAACCAGGTATAAGCACCAGCCTTGTAAGCTTCATGGCTCAAAGAAGGATTTAACTTAAGATGGAGACTGAAATCCTTTTTCATTCACGTAAGAAATAAAGTCACTGAGGAATTTCCATTACTAGTATGGGGGAAAGTGAAACTATAGCATATATACCTCATGAACAGATTATTATTAATCATGGAATCTTTCATTGTCATGTAACAAGGTTACATGTACAAGGTCTGGTTGAGAATTTAGACTTCAGAAACATTATAATTCTATGCATATTCTTGTGCCTGTTGTTCATATAGTGTACTTTGAATATAATTGCATCATTATTCTCAGGAGACTGTTACTGCCATCATGTCATCAATGAAATATTGATGAGAATTCTAGTATCTAACCAAAAGAGAGGATACTGGTAAAGTGTATATATAATGTTCTTGAAAATCAATACAAACATAACATGTACAACTCGAAAGCCATATGAAATGAAACATAAATTTGTTAACCAGAAAACACTCAAAAGAAATCAAACAATCTTAGATTTATTATTTATTACAACATTATTTAATTTGATATTAAACTTCACTGCTTACAGCAGAATTCAGTCTTTACATTTTATTTTATCCTTTAAATTAGAATATGTTATAAAACTTGATGTATATAAATATACGTTTATGCAGCGTTGATTATAATTAATACATTTTATCATGAATCTTAAAGAGCTTTATCATGATGGCTCTACTGGTAAATTATCAATGGGACAGTTTACGGAAGAGTTAGTTAGCCACATTTCTATACAGCTGGAGTGAAACTCATGATTACAAGGAAGAAATTTACGGGTTTGGCCTATTTCATAGACCTCCATGCAAATAGCACACAATGCACCAGCCGATGCCTCATCAATAGTCTCTGTTTTAAAGTTTTTAATTGTGTTGGATGACACAGTTTTAGGGGCCACTTGTTCGTCCAGCCTGAGTAGTAGCTCGTAATCTTCAGGGGTCAGGTCGCGGTGTTGCAAACCAATCAGAATATTTACTACAGCACTGTCGAAAGCTGAGGGGGCATTGTAATTATCTAAAGCATAAGCCAGATTCTGAGGTGGAGGACGAGGAGCTACTACATCAGAATGGGGAACTCTTGGTTTTGTGGTGCTGGAATTCTTTAATTCTTCTCTTCTTAAGGTTATCTTCTCTTTCTTTCTGCTTGGCATACAATTAAGGCTTATTGTTATTTCCATAGACATTAGTTTGTAAACTTTGTGATGAATGTATAGGTGTTTTCGTCCATTATTGTTCTGAATACTAAGACAATGCTTGGTTTTCACTTGTTTATGTGCTTTCTCCACTTTTCTGTCACGATCAGCACGGATTTCTAATTTCATATTTCCACTCATACAACCCTCCATTTCTTGGAATTCTTCAAATTTTTGGGTCAAGTTCTCCATTTCATCACATTCATTCTCAATCTTTAAGTAAAGTTTCTCAGCATCATAATCAATACTAACATTGTCACACACTGGTCTAGGAAAGAGTGAGATTTTAAATCCCATTTCATCATTAGGTAAATATTTCCATCTCTTTCCCTTTTTCTCAATTTTTTCCTTCTTCTTTGCTTTCTTGCATGATTTTGTACCATATTTTTCTAAAATATCATCAGGAATTTCACACTTCTTATATCTCCTGCCTGTGCCTGGAACTTCGACCTTTTCGCCCTTCTCAAGTCTTTGATTTTCCTTCCTTTCATTTGATGTGGTAGTATCTTCTATAAATGTGTACGAATTAATAGTTTCTTCCTCCTCAGAGAGGGGCTGCATTTCTTTTGATTTTTCTGGAATAATTTTGTTCTGCTGAGGCAGCGTATTTTGACGGAGAATTAGGGTGAAATCATCGCCAAATGTAGAAACTGGGCTGCAGCACATCTTAACACTATCCCTTTGATGATGCCCAAACGGATGGATTTGAGGGATTAAGAGTGCTTCCATTTCACAGTTGATGACTTGTACGAAGTTTTTCAGGAAAATGCCGGTATGACAGCATGGCTTTAAATTTTTATAACTGATTTTCAGACTAGCTATTGCACCACTAATGGCAACAAACAACACTGCTAAATTTAGAAAACTACAGCATGTGACGTATGTTGGACGACTCTTGATTGGTCAAAGTTGGCGATGTTCTCGCGAGAATTACAATTTATAAACAATGAGTGGAAAACACCATCTGCTATTTTTAGACTAAAAAAGAAAGTAGACGGCATCGGGCATGGAAGAGAGTTCTACACCATACGATCATGCGAAGGTGATTTAAAAAAAAATTGTCATTCATTTATGAAGTGAATATATTCGTAAATTATTAAAGTTATAAACTGTGTATCTTTTGACTAGATATTTTTGATATTTTGATATTTATTTTTTTCCAAATCCGGGCCCTTTTGAGTAGGATAACATTCATGATTATTAAACAGTGCATGAGAAAACACTACTTATATGTCTTACAACCTTTTATTTTTAGTTCAAAGAATTGGAAAGCTTTGGTTTGAAAAATTTAGTGCAGATCAGGACAACTTTTAATGTGTATCTAGACTTATGTGAAGGTAATTAAAAAAACATACATGTTCTAGTATAGAGAAAACGGAACGACTTGACTTTACCGGTCCCCAGAAAAACGCGCTAAAATATAGTGTCGCCGTAGGCGACTTCAATATATATGAGATCGCGTGAGCGATCGAAAAAAATTTAAAATATGAGGTTTTAAGCCTTTTTGACCCCAAAATCGAATTCTACGGTTAAAATTTTAGTTTAAAACTTCGTTTTTAAACGAAGTTTTTAACCTCGTTCTCTGAAAAAAAGTAATAACTATTGTTTATTCAGTGAAAAGGAGACACAAAATAATTGTGAACGGAGCGCGTGCGGCGCATGCTTAGTGCCGTTTCTTTTGTACTTAGCCATTTTTTTCATGTAAACAAACCAACGAGATGTCGTTGAAGCTGAATTAAGATCTTGCAAAAAATACAGATGCAACTGAATTTCTTAATAAATCTAAAAGAACAAGACACTAACCCTAATCTCTCAGATGGTATGCGAGGACTAACCCAAATCTCCCAGGCGGATGCTAGACTAACCCATGTGCGAGGACTAACCCTAATCTCTCGGATGGATGCGAGACTAACCCTAATCAGTTGAAAACTTATGGAAGGACTAACCCTAATCTTTCAGGTGGGTGCAAGACTAACCCTAACCAGTCGAAAAATGTGCAAAACCAACCCTTATCAGTTGAGTGACGTAAGTCTTACGTCATAGTGCAATGAGCACGCGGATCTTGCGGATCTGGGGACCGGTAAAGTAAAGTCTACCCGAGAAAACTACTTATGTACATGAGCATCCTCACAATTTCGGGTTCTGCATGAGACCTTGAGCCACGAGTGGACTCAGGATCCCTTACATTGTGAGGATAGTACATAAGATAAGAATTCTCTCTCTTTTTTGGAGAAGAAAATTAAAAATATTTTGAATATATATAATGGATTAAATGTCAATGTTATATTTCCATATTAATATGCCAATTTTTGCAGTGAGAGGATGGTGGAATGTGAAGCTACATGGACGTAAAGACCTTGACCTGGCCTTCATTTCAGGTCACCCCACAAGAGAGGAACCCAGAGAAATTATTTTGCCCCTTTTGAGTTCAGACAGTATCAGCACACACTGCCTACAGCAGTATCTAAAGGAAATTAAAGTTGATGGCTATGAAACTCATGGGTATGTTGTTGTTTGAGTCTTACTTGCTCACAATAGACAATAGAGAGATGAGGAGATTAACAAAGCTGTTAATTAGCACAGGGAAGTAGATTACTGGTAGTTGCAAAGAGAGAGAGAGAGAGGAGAGGGATAGAGGAATCAACACTAACCATAGACTTTTTACAAGTTTAAAAGATAGCTTTGGAAAATGGTTTTACCAAGAAAGAATTATAATTATTTTCACATTACTTGTATTAAATTCAAATAAACATGAATTCCAGTCCTATTCATTATACAATTTTTCATGTTAAATTGTTGAATGTTTTAATTACATGTATTTTCAGAATAACATTAGCTATCTGTGATGCAGACACTACCACAGTATACTACAAGATAGCAGAAGGGTTAGTGACCCCTGAACCCCCAGAGGTCACAGAGGTGAAAAAGGTGCAAAGATTTGAATTGATGAGGAAACGTCAACTCAACACACAAAGAGCCATTCAGACCTATAAAACTGCAAAGCTAAATGACAGTACACCTCAGGAGGGTGAGGGGGTCATCACCGAGGAGAGGTCCTCTATGACTTAACTGGTGGACTTCATAAAGAACTATTTTATTGTAGCACTGCCTGTTCAGTTGAGAAGAACCCACTTTACAATAGCTCTAAATGGAAAATGATAAGAGAGGAGAGTGGTGTTTTATTGTCCTTAATTGAAGTTTGCCTTAGGGTTAAAGATGTATTTTTTTATCTGGTTTATTGTTTCCAGCTTGACAACAGACTTAATGGATAAAGAAATAAAGTAAACAAGATGTCTGATAAAGTCTTAGATACAGGTTTTATTGTCATTGAAAACTATTTCAGAGTATTCAGTAAATAAACTATTGTATGAATATGTCCATGTGTTTTTAGTTTGCAATAATTTTTCAAGGGAAAGATTTAGTAATTGATTTTAGATGATTGTTTTGTGCCGAGATCTATTGTGTTATCATAATGAAATTTTGCCCATACTTCACTGTTGTCAAATATATAGAAAAACATTTCAATATTAACATTTCTTGTACTGTTGTTCGCAATCTAAACCCAAAATTTGTAATTAATTCCATTCTTCTTAATGAGGACGTGTAGTCAGTTTTGGAAGCCCTGATGAAATTCTTAAATTACATGTATTTTTTTTTGTTCATCTGTGAAAAAAGGTTGATTCTGTTAATCAAAATCAATTATTTTTTAGAATATCTGAAATTAGTAGGCATTTTGACCTTTCTCTCAATGAACACACATCTCTACCCTAAAATCTGTCACTGAGAGGGAGCCAGCCAGACTGATTAAATGAGCTAGCTAGTGTATATCTTATGAACTTGACATTTTATAATATGAATCAAATATTACTTATTACCATACCCTTCTATAAATAATTTAGTTAGTTACTTTGGTTACTAGCTGTAGCTTTTAGATATGCTAAGAATTTGATTGAATAGTTAATCACTAATAGTTTAATGGGATTGGTGATGATTAAACAATAAAATTCTTTTTTTTTTTTTTTGTTAATGCAGGGATAATGGGTGCGACATTGCAGGAAAAATACATAATCAATGTAAACAGGGTATGTAAGGTATGTTAATTTTTTTTTTTTTTTTGCAATGATTTCAACTGTTAGTCCCCGCAAAGAATATTCCTGTTATTTGTATTATTGGTCTATATGTAAGATTGATGGAAGAGCCCATTTCTTAAAAAAATCTTTTAAACAGACGGTTTTATAAATAGTTTATTATAAATGCATGGATTGATAATGGCAGTGGGTTTTCGTAAGAAATAAAGGAGAAAATATTCAGTGGATGTAAATATTTAATACTTGCTGCATTATTTTTTTTTTATTTTTATGTAACTCACCTCTCATCATATTTTTATTTTGAATAATGACAGTGTACATCAGAAACAGAGGTCCCTGATGAGACTGTAGCTCATATGTGTGTACTCGTAAGAAAAAAAGCAGCACCTGGATTGAAACTTAGTAGCTATGGAAACACAAATAAATAAGAATTATGATCTTTGATTCAGTTTATTGTTCCAGTTTTTATTATATCAGATTAATCAAAAACAAAGGAGGAGTATTGTTTTGAAGTAATTCCAACATTATCCTATTTGTTACTATAAAACATTGCAAAATTGTTCATCTAAAACAGAAATATATTACATGTATCTCTTAGTGTGGTCTACTTTGTCCATGTCAGTGAAAATCCAAATATGTTTATTGTGTACAAAGTTTTATTGAAATCAGACTAAAATTGTAGTTTGGTGTAGTAGTAGTCTTTTTTCCATAAATTTCTATTGCCAGTAATCATGACAACACCGTTCGTGGAAATAAAAAAAACTAATAAAGGAAATCATGTATTTTAGTATTGTCTCCTTGTGTACCAAGTCATATGAAATCGGACAAAAATTGTAGATTTTTAAAGAAATGTGCAGAAATTTTCACTATTAGTAACCATGGCAACACCGTTCAACCCATATTTAGAATTATATATCTTATTATTGTGTATTTGCAGAGTTGTCCCTAATATCCGGGGGCCGGGGAAATTCCCCATCAATAATGACGTAAAGACTCGGTTATTCTGGTTTTCTCCCTCAACTTTCTATTAGGGGAGGACCCATAACTCCTTCTACTTTTTAAATGTCCTCTGTTATTTCAATTCTTAGGGACAACCCTGACTGTATAAATCTTATTGAGATCGAACCAAAACTGTATGGGGAATAGCGTTTTGAAAGAATTTCACAGAAATTTCTATTTAAGTAACCATGACAACACCGTTTGTCGAAATTAATAACCGGTGCACGGAATGATGTATCATATATTGTATAGTCTACATGTGTACAAAGTCTTTGGGGATGCCACCAGGCGCAGTTGCATACTGGAAACAATTTGTGCTGCATGGTCAGATTTTATTACAAGCAAAATCAGGATGTTTTTGTCCTCCACTTAATGACAAAAGTTTATCTGAGATATTATCAAGCAAAAAAAAATGTATTAATATACAAGTTTGTGACCTTGACCTTAAATCTCTTTTTTTTTCTCCTAATCAATGGGGGTCATGTTTAGTTATAGATAGTACTGAATTGAATCTAGAAACAATTTCATACCATATATACAGTAAAACATATTTATAACGAAGTGCCTGGGACGGACGGATTTGCTTCGTTATCAACGTAATTCGTTATACTAGTTAAGTTTAAAATATACTTAAAAGTCACAGGGAATGAAAATCACTTCGCTATAAGCATAAGTTTGTTATAAACGTGTTCGCTATAAGAGTATTTTACTGTATATGAACTTGTGACCTTATCTTTCACCTAAATTTTTAAGTTAGAGAGATTCAACACTCTTAGTTTCTTTGCTAAATATCAAATAGAAATTTCTGACTTTGGCTTTTGACTGCACACTCAGTTTGGACCTTCTGTAAGTCAAAGAGCGTTATGAAAATTCATTTAAAGCTGAAGAACTTTTAGAGATAACACCTGGAAACTAAAGTTTACAATTTCACAAAGAGAATTTAAATGTTAAATCCACCACTATAGCAATATCCATTCCTTTGCCCCTAAATTACTGCAGTTTCTTGTAAATATCCTACATAACCTCGTAATCACCAAGTATCAAACATTCGTTGCAATATTTGCACGTCAAGTCCCCATTAGCTCTAATTATGTGTATGACAGGGACTTTACATGATTGGAAATATCTAACATGTTATTGTTACACAAATGGCGTGTTTTTGACAATTAAGTTGACGCATTGTCTTTACCGAGAATCTTAATCCTAACACGTGTTACTATGTTAAGTTCTTTTTCAATAATTTTCGATCGAAAGTTTTTCTGTTGACCACCAGGTTGTTTACGACTTAACTCAGACTATTGAATGATTGTCAAAAAGCAGTACACACTATCGCTATGTTTCCGAGGGTCGGAGAAAGATACAAATAACCCTGTCAAAAAGCTCCGTTCGTGAAACAAAAACCCATTTGACCAGTGAGAGGGTCGACTGCACATGTCTCCGGAAATACGTATTTTATATCTAGGCAAGTGTGTAATATATCTTTTGATTAATTAGTGAAATTAATATGTACTTGTTGAGATATTTCAATTTTTACAGAATATGAATTTAGTAAACCAGGGAGTGGTTTTCCTGAGTGCAATTGTCTACCTTCTTAGTTTACCAAAAGTACTGTGTGGAAAGAAATGTAAGTTGACCATTTGTTTTTTAATTTTAATGTACTATACAGTTGTACATACAAATGATTTTTACTGTGTGATAACTGCAATCTCCCTTTTGTGGTTCTGGAAAGAAATCCAAGTTTTCCCTGCAAGAAGGAACATTTAAATGGATTTTTATACCCTCATCATTTGGGACCCCCCCCCCCCCCGCCAATTCTCAAGTAAATTCCTGGATCTACCCGTGGTTCTTTCAAATGCTTGATACACATTTTGATTTTCAGATGCAATGGACGAGGAATGTGGCAGAACAATAAAAATGGATGGACGGATTTTCCACATGGCAAACATTCGACAGACCTTCCGAAAGAATTACGCAATCAACTCTAACTGTCAACTAATATTTGAGACAATGGAGTCCTATCGCTTCATCATTGTGTTTAAGCGGTTGGATATCGAGTTTGAACCTCTGTGTGACGATGATAACCTACAAATATTTGATGGCAACACTACATCCCATCCCATCGTTAAAGGTCAGATACCGAACACTCTGTTGTACAGAAAAATTACAATGTAATTCATTCACTAAACGAAAGTTGATGAAATTTAATTTTATTACATGTACGGATAAATGTATGACATGCCCATTACTCATCAAGAATGGGTTTTGGAATTGCAGATCGAAGGAGAAATTAATGTGTCATATTTCTACACACCGAAGTACAATATGTTTATAAATATTCATGATTGTTGTTTTCAAAATGTTTTTGCCAATAAACATACAATGTTTAATGTTATTTTTTAGGGTTACCGTCCAGAATATGCGGGAAAGAGAGACCGCCAGGCTCCTATGTTTCAAAAGGTAACAAGATCTTGATGGCGTTTCGCAGCGACTTTTATGACGTCAGAGATGGTTTTGAAATTATTCTCACTACTTTCCGAAAAGGTACAAAATCATTATTGTATATGTGTGATGCAATATATTGTATTTTATTTTTTGTGAGTGTTTCGTATAACTTTTGGTAGTAATGCTTTCTTGAGTTGAATATAACTTTAACAGTTTCAAGGTTGTTCTAACTAGGGCTGGGACGATACAACATTTTCTATATCGATACGTATCACGATATTTGAGCCACGATACGATATGTATCACGATATGTTGAATTAGTTATAAAAAAAAATTTTGTATTGAAATGAACAAAATATTTCTTCACAAATGAGAATAATTTATTCAAAGAAGTTGTATATCTGTTGTAAAACAAAATTATTTTACACAAGTGGGGTTTATTATTATGTATTTCATATTTATATTTATATTCTGCATATTTATTTTATATATCTAATCCAAAATATTAAGCAAACAAAGAAAAAACATAAGTCAGAAATTTTTCTGCGATATTTCGATATTTCTTCATATGTATCGATATGCGTATCATCCTCACATTGAATCGATATTATCGATATCTCGATATATCGTCCCAGCCCTAGTTCTAACCATTACCTTTGCAATGAATTACAGCGCCTTGTGAGGAGGATGAGGAGTTTAAGTGTAGGAATGGGCGGTGTATCTCCTCCCTCCTCCAGTGTGATGGTATCAATAACTGTGGGGACTACTCTGACGAGTGTCAGTGGAGCGCGGGGGTACTGTTTGCTATCATGGGGGCCATTCTCTTCATCACCGTAACAGGCATCGTTGGTGTAAGGTTCGTTAGAAGGAAACGACTTCTCAGAATTCCAAAAAAGGTATACATGTATTTCATATTTAAATGTAATCATTATGCGACATTATCGCAAGACACAGGTTTGTATATCTATTCCCATTTTAGGGCCAGGGGTACGGGAATGAATGAAAACTTTTTGCTTGTGAAGATGGCGTGCAATGGGGGATGGGGGGGGGGGTTAAAAAAATATCAGAAAGACAATTACCCGGTATACATACTCTATATTGTATTCCAAATAAAACAGTGAAAATTTGGTTAGTATATATCTATTATTATACTATACTTCGTTGGATTAAAGGATCTACATGTACCCAGTAAAAAAATGTGCACGTGCTAAGCTAAATTTCCGGGTTTTGTTGTTACTGTCACGATCTAAAAACAGAAATAAAATTAAACTTCCCGCAATTGACGCTCTATTTAAATTTTGTAAACCTAATGTACTTATTCTGTAGGGGAAAAAAGAGAATTCGACAGAGACATTCATGGATACATTTTCAACACCTTTGCCAGATATCAACCTTTTATGCGAGCACCATAGAAAGAGTATTTCTAAGAGATCCATGGCCGCCAAACCGGAAGTGCATCAGCAAAACTGTCAATCCAAAGAAGAAACAAATGACACTAATCATGTAAAATAATTGGTTTTATTGTTGAGAACATTATTCATCTTTCGTTAATAAATTACCAATATATTCATTATGTTGTGCTTACACATTGCTTTAATAAATATACATATACACAGTTCATCATTTATCAAATACAAAATTAATGCAAATCTCCACTTTGTAAACGTCTAGATCTGCTTCAGTGACAGTGGTTTTAGTGTGTCATAACAATTCTGTATGAACGCCATTTCATGCATACTTTACATCAGAAAACAAGACTAATTCACACTTGTGCCCTCTCAACTAGTTTGTCATTACAGTTGAACTTCGGTATCTCAAACACGGATATCTCGAATACCATAGATATGGCAAAGTGATTGAGAAGTCCTAACCACGTATTTCTTAAGTATTTTACCCTCGATATCTCGAACTCTCGGATATCTCGAAGTTTTATATCGGTCCCATCGAGTTCGAGATAACGAGGGTTGACTATATTTGTTATACACTAGAAAACAAAAATAATGATGACTCTTTTCTTGGCTTGTCAAGAATTTCTGTTAGGTTGTGCCCCCCCCCCCCCACACCGAAGAAATTGCTTCTTAATGGCCCGTATTGAAAGAAATTTCGAACTTGTCTAACCCTGTGCTTAATTCAAATGTAGTGCAGAAACTATTTTTGTCTAGGCTAATGTCGAGACCCACGGTTATTATACTCACTGTTGTACCTGTAAAAATCGTTTCCTATATAAATCTGTACTAAAAAAAGATCTATAATTCCAATTATTACTGAGCGGCCCAGAAGTCGATGTTGGACCGCTGAGTGGGATATAAGACCTGTCAAAAAGATATCGGACCCTGTTTATAAATGTATAGTATTGCGAACATTTACAAAGTAACTTCCTTGATAACAGAGTTCATAAGACCGAGATCAAAACTGCATTTTGACCGTGGTCTGGTGTATGAATTAGTCGGATTTAGTCTTTTTCTCCGGGTACGTGTATCACATTCGGAGTGTTTCGTCAGTTTACCACAGCATGTCCAATGTGGACCCCCAGGGTGGATGATAGAATCATGACTGCAACAGTAATCGCCTGAAATATGCAGATTAATGAAATTTATGTAAAACATTTTGATCTAATTAACCAATTTAAAAAAAAAGAAAGAATAAAGCAGATGATAAACCTGTTAAAGAAGATCCGTATGTACACGGTTCATCATTCTTCATGTCTCCGGAGCAGACGGAACAACAATGCCATCTGCCGATGTGTTCTCGCCAACTGTGCTTCACGTGGAAAACCACAGATTTTGTCTGAAAACAAAATATTCAACTCTCCTGATAATGATCATTTACTGTATATATACAAACATTTCTTTACCAATAAACCACTGATCTTGGAAAAGACAAATTAACATACTTTAATGGGCTTTCCATCAACTGTGATGTAGAGCACATGTTTTCCAGTTTCGTATGGTAAAAGCTCTATCGTCCAAGTTCCATCCATGTTGTTTCTTACTTCTTTTGGTTTACTTTTGTAAAAATTAAACAAGCATGGTTAAGATACTTTTTTATCTAAATTTTTATTTGTATGTGTACATAGTGAACCTTGTTTGGTTAATTATTTACCAAACAGATCCTGATGGTTCTATTATTTTAACCCGGACTTTCGCCTGGCAGGGAAACAATTTTCCTTCCTGTTGTAAAGTATGAAGTATGGCTAATGCTTTCTGTCTGACCCTTGCCGTCTCTAACCCTAAAAGAAAAAGATCAGTGCATTTTTTTTATGAAAAATAAACTTAACATTTATTAAGCATGTAGTACATTAGCAAGTATTGTCAGGATGGAAACCGACACACCCTCAAACAATAGAACAACCAAATTCTAACTACATGTTCAGTAGTATATGACATTTTCTTCCATTTTCTTTTGTTAGAGAGTAGTTTCAAGATAAATATTCTGGTATGTACAACAAAAAATTGTATCTGAATGTACTGTACCGTGCACAAATTTAAACATAAAACTTACCAGAATAGTCTAAGTAGCATTTCGCTGGACACAAGTGTCCGCTGAATATTTGGCCGTAGAACTGGTATTGGCCAATGATGGGACCATCAGCCTCCGGACAGAATTTTGTTTCTAGAGATGTCACGTGAACTTTGGCTTGTCGTATTGTCATCAGAAGCTTGGACAATCTATTCCAGTCCCCACTGTTCTCATCTACCCCCGGGGTCATTGTTTTCAGTATTTTCTTAACTTCTTCAACATTTTCTTGTAAGCTCGAGAGAACCAATTGTTGACTTGCAATAAATTCTGTGTGCTTCATAGACATTTCTCTCGTCTGCTTCAGAAGTTCAGTCCTGTGTTTCTCCAAAGATTCAATGTATTTGTCAAAATGAGAATTAATTTCAGTTGAAATGTCCTGAGAATGAAGATTTGTTTCCATTTTTACATCATCACACCGTTGTAACAGACGATCAAACAACAGTCCTTTAAAATCCATTTCTTCGGAGATGTGTTTTACAAGTAAATCATCCATCTTACCATTATCCATTTTTTCACCTTCTAGATCTGGCAGAAGATATCTTATTTCCAATGTTCTTGAATTTTCAATGCCTGTTAGCTGATGATTTTGAGTTGTTTTTTGCCTCCCATGAAAAAATGCACACATTTCACACAAGTTTTCTTGACATTCATCACAATATGAAACAGCCGTTGAATCGGGTTCTTCAACACACATGGTGCAAAGTGTCGAGTTGCCATCAGATATTGTAGATATCTCGTCCTCATCTTGTTGCAAAACAAATTGTTGGTCTTCAGCATCCATTTATTAAAAATTTCTTGAAATTTGAGATCGAAACTCTCTATACTTCTTAACCACGTCTGCACGTGAAACAAATAGAGCAATCAAAAACTGCTACCCATGAATTGTACATAAAATGAATTTACATTTTGTAGATATAAAAAGCGATAACACAGAAAAAAAATTCTCTTGTTACGCCTAGCAGTTTCACTAATAATCTTAATACCGGGTGCCTGAACTCTATACCTTTAGCATCACAAAAGGTTCTATTTATTTGGACATCATGTCTTTGTTAAGCTGACAAGAACATAAATTCTGTCAACGATTTGTCAACATTGCCTTAAGCTGGCCACTGACTTAAAAATTCGCCAATCCGATAAAATCCTACAACTTCGCCCTACTTAGAGCACCTGTCCAACTGCACGGTAAAATATGCCAGATGGATCTTATCTTAGCTCCAGAAAACGCGGAAAAATTCTTTTAAGTAATTCTGCCTTTGTATATACTTTAAACGTATATTTAAAAAAATCTTGTAAGGATATTTATGCGATAGTTCTAAGGTCATCGGTTACCAATATTTCTGCAATAGGGATTCTGTTTATATGAAAGTGTATGTGTGTATATAAGTGTGCCCACTTGCTTTATCGCCCTCAAGTGTTCGCTTCTTCATGTATCTCCTCTTAAAAAAATGTGAAATACATGAAATATATACATGTTTATTTACATGTACAGAAAAATTCATATTTTGATCTCAAAAAAGCTCAAAGAGAACAAAAAATATCATTTGAAAACTACTTTCTGCAGTACATAGGGACGGACAGACAGAACAAAATTAACACACACACACACACACACACCTTTTTATGCCCCTGTAATCGAAGATTCGGGGTATATAGTTTTTGCCCTGTCCGTCCGTCTGTCTGTCCACAAAAACTTTAACATTGCCCATAACTTTTAACTGGTTGGAACTATAGCTTTCATATTTCACATGTATTCCTTGTGACAAAACCTTCCCTTGGGTACCAACATATTTGACCTCTTGACCTTGGAGTTTGACCCACTTTTGCAAAAATTTAACCTTGGCCGTAACTTTTGAACAGTTGGTGCTAGGACTTTCATACTTCACATGTGTATTCATTGTGACCTTTCCATGGATGTAATTATTTTTTACCTCGACCTTAGAGTTTGACCCACTTTTAAAAAACGTTAACCTTGGCCATAACTTTTGAACGGTTAGTACTAGGAATTTCAAACTTCACAGGTGTATTCCTTGTGACAAGGACTTTCTTGGGATACCAATAATTTTGACATTTTGACCTACTTTTGAAAAACCTTAACCTTCGCCATAACTTTTGAAGAGTTGCTGCTAGGGCATTTAAATTTTGCATGTGTATTTCTTATTGACAAGGTCTTCACCTGCATACCATTTATTTTGACCCCTTGACCTTGGAGTTTGACCCACTTTAGAAAATATTAACTTGACCATAACTTTTGATTTGAATGGTTGGTGCTTGGGCTTTCATATTTACCAGGTATATCCATTGACACAGGTCCCTTTTTTGGGTAACAACATTTCGGATCTCTTGACCTTGGAGTTTGAATTGCATTTGAGAAATTTTAACCTTCGCCATAAACTGCCATACGGGGGCATCAGTGTTTCACAAACACATCTTGTTTTTTTTTTTTTTTTTTTTTTCCGAAAGCAGGGGACAACAATATAAAGGAGAATGACAACGAAGTTCTAACAATTTTATTTGGCGAAAAAAAAATCATTTACATCATATTATTTTTAATACACATAACGTAATACCAACGTAATTTTGAGATTTGTGTACGTCTATCAAACCACCTTGGTAAAAGAATTACTTATACCCAGGTACTTCGAATAGTGAATAGTTTAAAATACATGCGCACTGTACAAGTTTATGTATATATAATAATACACTCTAGCACGTTTTATAAGAATACCTGCTGATTTAACTAAGGTTCTTATAAATAAACTTTTAGAAGTAGCCATGGAAAGTAAACATTGCACAAGATTTGTCAAAATACATGTATCTAAAACCAATAAAATACATATTTACAAAATTGGAAACATATAATTAAAAAAATTCTCTTCGTAAATCTTATAACGTATTTATAAGAAACATATTTACAGGTGTAAGTATACATGTATAACATGTGTAAATTAATTAATCATCGTATCAATCTAAATAAAAACCACGCCGATCGGGCTCAGTTTTTATTTGCCAACAAAATCTCGACTGTCGGGGTATACTATTATTCTCCAACAATTCCTCCGACGCGGGATTTATTCCTTGAATATATATCAATTTTAATAATCATAACACATAATTGTCCACAACACTCACGTGAGTTACCCTTTCCCTTCCTGACAAATATGATTAAAAGAATAATTTATAGCACATGTATATTGAGGTTTGATGATAAGTTTACCAACTGTGGCCTTGTTCATTTTGAGGAGGTTTATATAATATTATATAAATCTTGGACTCTCACTCAATCTCAAACCTATCCTCAGACGTCATAATTTGTATCTACTGTCTACAAACTTGAATCTCCACTAAACGGAGATGCTCGAACATTAATACGACTATTTGTGGCCTACACGTATAGGTGTTGATATTCTAGAGGAGATTAAAAAAAAAAAAAGTCTGTATATTCCTTTATAAATTGACCCCTCTAGACTCATAAAAGTTTTACTAGTATCTTAACATATGTACTCTTTAAAAAAAAAATTAAATGATATAAACCTACACTACTTCGCCTTGAAAAGGGGTTTGGCATTCGTTTGGACTGAGTCATCACAGAAGAATGCCGTGTCCCAAGTTTGGTTAAAATTGGCTTAGTGGTTCTAAAATAGTAGTAGAAAATATGAAAAGTGTGCATACAACCAACAATACACGACATACAGATAAACGGACGCAGGACACTCTTCGGTCAGAAACACTCACTTAGGCCTTTGGATAAGGTGAACTGTAAGCTTATTTATTACTTTCATTGTTTTTTATTCCTAGACATAGTTAAGTGGCGAATGTTCGATATCAATAAAACGACCGCGCCCATTAACATGGCACTACCTCCAACGTAAAAAGCGTTTTCATATCGTCCGTCAATATCTTTTAGAAAACCTGGAAATAAAAGAAATATTTATATTATTCTATTAGTCTTTATTATGTGCCTGGTCTAGAATTCAGGAAATTTCAGCTGAGAGAATTCAGGAAATTTCAGCTGGAAAATATGTTTTGCACTAACACTTAATCTACGACAAATAATGAAGTTTATTACAAATATTTAATTACCTGCGAAAGGTGGACCTACGAGCATCCCCACACCTTGAAAGGCAATCAGAAGTCCAAATGAGTTGACTAGTTTTTCTGCCCCTAGCAGGTCAACTAGGATGACCGATTTCTGAGAAATGTAGGTACCTATAAGTAGTCCATATACCCCACACACCACACACAGCTGGCTGTAGGACCGAGTAAAGGGGATCACAAAAGACATCCCTCCCACTAGAAACATGACGGTGTTGTATACATATACACGGAATCTTTTTACGTTCTTCAAATCTAGAACCGTTCCTGATATAAGTCTTGCCACTCCGTCAAATACACCAGTTATGATAACTAAATAGGCCGCCTCCATGTCAGTGGTTCCTATTTGTTTGCCATAAGCCGGCAGGAACACGAAGGCGGACTGGAAGGCGAGAGTAAACAACATAATAGCTATACAAAAACACAAAAAGCGGTAATCCTTCAACAGTGAAAGTTCTAGATATTTCTTCTTCGGTCCTGAAGACTTTGCTCCTGTTTTAAAGAAACCACAACACCCACATTTTCTGTTTCTTTCCCCATTTTTCACGGATCCGTTTTGAAATGCTTCCCTTTCCCTTGGATTATCAGGAAATGGTGATTCTCTCTCTGTTATTCCTATAAATTTACTGTCTGTGACGACCCCCGTTTCGTCCTCTGTTTCTCTGAGAACCATCTTTTCATCGTTTGATAATTCCACTTTAGTACTGGTGTCCTTGGAATGTTCATTTAGACTGTCATGAGATATAAATGTTTTTGTGTCTTTTAGTGGAACTTCAGCACCATCTTTAATACTTTTTCTCCTGTAAATGTAACATACACGTATATGTTAAGCAGCCCTATCTTTGTGCTCAGCAAGACCATGCAGAGCGTATAAATGGTCAAAGCAAACCGTACCTTTTTATGTTCAATGATTGTTTAGGAATGTACTATGCACGGTTAAGCCTAACTGAATAATTCACATTCATGCAGATTTTTTTTTAAATACATTTAATTTAAATTAAACAATTTTTTTGTAAATTTTTTTTAAAAAGTCACAAAAATGTTTGAAATTAGGCCCTGAAGCATTTCAGGTCTCTTTGCATGGAAAAATTGTTCATGAAATTTTGAAATAAGTAAAAAAGGCCAACTGTGTGTTTCTTGCCTTTTGTCAAAAGCCATAAGTTTTCTTTGTTTCTCCAGAGGTCTAAACAGCATACCGCAGACACACAAATTGACCGCAAAACAAGCCAGAATATAAAATCCCCCAGTAAAAAGGTAGAAATGGAATGCTAGCTCAACAATAGCTGGAACGACAAACGATCCGAATCCCACCCCAGAAGTGGCTATACCAATTGCAATCCCCCTTCTCTTGTTGAAGTAAGTTCCCACCATAGTTACGGCTGGGGCATATGACAGGCTTCGTCCGAAACCTTTAACAAAATACATTCAATATTAATTTTCAATCAACAAAAAGCGTATTTTTGCACGAATTGCAGAATTAGTGGAAAAATTCTTAGCATGCTTTGATGACGCACCTCCTACAAATCCAAAAAAGACATAGACAGTAATTAAAGATGGAGAATATGCCGTAATAATAAGCGTCACAGTGAAGATGAGAGATCCAGTTATTACGACTGTCCGACTGGAGAACTTGTTACAGAGAAGGCTGCATAAAGGACCTACAATGCAGTAAAAAGAAAACACACACACATTATTAAAGATTTGTAATAGTATTTTACTCGATATATTAATGTAACATTGAGTATAAAAATTGTTTAACTCGGCGTACCAGTCCATCTTCCAATGTTGTGTTTATTTTAGGACTTTAAAAATTGTCAAACTGCAACTGGTCTGTTACTTTTAATTGATGTAGAAAATCTTCAATATCGAAACTGTGCCTCGAAAGAATGCGAAAAAAAATAAATTACATAAATATCTAAAACCACAAGATAGTACATACCCAGTAAGAGTCTGATTCCTGAGGGGATGGTTGTCGCCCATGCAGTAGCTGCCGCGGTTTGCTTATACCTCTCTAGAAAATAGAGGTACAGCAGGCCAGATGATCGCTCCAGTCCCCCAATGATGAAGTGACAAAAGAAGCTCCCAAGCACCACCCACCAACCCCATCCACCGTCAGGCACCACATTTTCCTCCTTCTGTGTTAAAAGAAAATCGGTAACAGGAGTATCTGCGAAAATTTAAGGTTTTGCTAAAGGGACCAGACGCGCTATGTGATTTACCTATTTCAACACCTCATGAACAGACTGATATTGTCATAACAATAACACAGCCTTGATGGAGGTTGCAATTTTTTCACGCTTTTATTTCCATAAATATACTGATTATTAAATTATGGAGATAACGAACAGTTATGAAGTTCATAGGTCCATTAAGACCTCTAACAACACCAGAGGTGGGATCAGGTGCCATGGAGGAGTAAGCATCCCCTGTCGACCGGTCACACTCACCTTATGCTCCTTGTCATGATCGGGCAAACAGAAAATATTAAAATTCGTAGATATGCAGTGTGTAAATAATGGCCTAACAATTAGTAAGAAAAACATCAGTCAGCATTCGACTAAATGATGGATTGCATTTGCTGACGAGGTCATTGTATAGACCATAGAACTTGCTAAATGTTGACTTAAAACGAGACTGTTGATATCTTTGTTTCATCAACTTGTTTGTCAATAGATTGCCTCGTTTTAGAAATTATTCGTACGTAGAACATGCCCTTGCGTATCGAATTAACTGGGAGACATTAACTCCATATGCAGATGATAAGGATATATTGCCACATAAATAAGGGAAGGTGACGATAGAAAAGTTGAAGTCATCACCTTTATCATAAAGTTTTGTTGTTAGGTTACCATTAACGTCTTTTTTCCAGTAAAATATCCAAATATGAAACAGATGTATCGTACCCTGTGGTATCTTTTATTTCAAGTTCACTGGGATACATCGAGTCGACATATGAATAGAAGTAACTATTATTAATTGATAATACGTCGTCGATATATCTAAATGTCGAGTTGAAGGCCACAGCATGTGCTTTCTTCTTCTCATGTATAAGTTTTTGAATAAATTCTGCTTCATATGAATAAAAAAAATAGGTCTGCTAATAACGGGGCGTAATTGGTACCCATTAGAATTCCGACAGATACCGTTTAAAGTGTCCATTTCAGGGGGAAAGGGGTGCATTTATTTGAAATGCACAAGTAATTCGCCGGTATTGTTGTAAAATATGGAGTGAATGTGAAAATTATAACCTAGCTGTTCATAATGCATATATATAAGGCAACTTTAATTTATTCCACTTTAATATTTTCGTCAGTAATTTGCAACATAAGCTTCTCATCCGTTAACTTTGCTTATCAATATCTACTCCACGGAGTACTTCAAGATCAGGGCAAAATCCGACAAATTTAGGTTTTGTTTCCAATACATGTGTACGTGTGCCTGTATTACTGATATGCAAATATACTATAAATCTTATATGAATGAAACATTGCATGTGTTTTGAAACTATCATTCTATTTCCCCCACAATACCACAGGCACTTGTGGTATGGACCCCCCCCTTTTCCATTTTTTTTCTTTTTAAATCTGGGGTCGAGTCACCTTTTTCCTATTTTTATATTCTAATATGCACTGTATGTTATCAATAATGTAACTCTTTTGTCTCTATGAGCTGTTTTTAAATATATCGTTTTCGACTGATACATAAACAGTCGAAAACGGTATTTTTAAAAACAGCATATAGAGACAAAAGAGTTACATCATTGATAATATATAGTGCATATTAGAATATAAAAATAGGAAAAGGGTGACTCGACCCCAGATTTAAAAAGGAAAAAAATGGAAAAAAGGGGGGGGGGGTCCATACCCCAAGTGCCTGTGCACAATACTTTCGCGATATACTTCAAGTGAAAATCTACTTATAAGGCACACACTACAATACACCTTGTATCTTTTGGAAATAATGAGAAAAAATAAACAAACAAACATTGTCATATATCGCATATTTCTTTGCCTTACCTCGATTAGAATAGACGGGACATTATCACTGTGTAGTTCTGAAATACTGTCGTGGCTATTTCCGGCTATTTTGTTTTCATCATCCTCCATTAGCATTACGTACAGCACATGACTTTACTTTCTGAAAAGAAGGTTAACATAGGTGAAATATTTACTACACGTCTTTTTGATAACATTTGTAATGCGACAGTGAACCTGACAACCAAACCACTCCAATCGCGAGTGGTACTCTTTTTTGACCCATCGTTCCTCTACTAAAAGAGGAGAATTTTTATGAAGAATTCGTCAGCTTTTTCAACAAAATGACTTGTTCTGTTAAATTATCACTTGCTTTACTTAAAAAATAAATTCAAAAACTCAAGCAATAATGAACGAAATAAAAAATAAATAAAACAAAACCAAAAATAAACAAAAATTGATTTTCTTGTAAATCAAAAATCTGCAAAGCGACATAATGTAGTTTAAACAATGTTTTATTGACGAAATTGACAAAGTTACAAATACACTAGTAATAAATACAATAAAATTGGGAAACAAGCCATAAGGCTTATATTAATCTCTCTTTTTGCAAATTCAACAAGTGAGAGAACGTGTACGTAGATGAAACCTAATATAGTACACTCAGAAAGAAATCGTTTCATACCAGGCGCAGATCCAGGAATTTTTTTTTCCCGGGGGGGGGGGGGGGGTGGTTGTCATGTAATCTTTGGGTTGGATTTTTTTTAACCCCTTAAATTCCCTTCCCATACGTATTAAACCCAGAAAATTTATTGGCTAACCAAAAAAAACAAAAAACAAAAAAAAAAAAAACAAACAAACAAACAAAAACAAAAATTGACGTAAAATCCATTTCCAAAATGTGAAAAATACCCTATTTCGTAGTGGTGGTGGTGGGGTCTACGTTTTCGGGGGGGGGGGCAAAGTCATTTCATTTGTTTCAGTATAAACTTATAATAACTCAGCAAATCCCAGGGGAAGTCCGGACCCCCCCCCCCTCCGACCCCCCCCCCTCCTAGATCCGCGCATGCATATATATATATTGTCAGGCGCGGATCTAGGAATTGAAGTTAGAGGGGGCGCAAAAGTAGGCAGGGGGTCTGGGGGCCGCCTTGAGGCCCCCAGTGGGTCCAGGACGAAGCCCTGGTGGGGGTTACAGGGGGCGAAGCCCCCGGAGGCTTCTGGATTCTAGAGATTTTGTAGGGTAAAAATGAAGTCTCCCGAGTTGACATTTTTACATTTTCTCGACGATACTATGATTAACACCAACTTTGACAGTGTTAGGGGGAGCCGGGTGCGCCCCCCTTAAATTCGCCACTGATTGTGAACAGTTTGCTGGAATTGAAGTTGATGAAAAATCTCCAAAAATTCCAATTTTGATATAAAAAAGTAAAAATTAACCTCACTTATTCATACCACATCACATATAAAATTTCAACTGAACAAAGATGAGACCGAATAATGTTTCGTGGTAAAAAATATCAAGTGATTTGTTTTTAAAAATCTTTTACTTTCAATCACAAAGTTTTGAATTACAAGAAAAAATATTTTGGCTTTCCCTTTCTGAAAGATTTTGTGAACCATAAAGTAATATATCAACAGTTATATGATGAGGTATTATAGAAATAGTTCTATTTCGCACTCTTATAAAATTGTTACAACGGAAGAAAAAAATGTTCGATAGTTTCAATCTCACCACATAAACATAGTGGAGAAATACAAAGATTTGTAAATTCAAAGAACTGCATTCGATTCGGAGTTTCGTATCTCACTAGGCAAGGTTTTTGATCTGCTCTACTCCAACCTTTGGCTAGGAAAGAGGGAATGATGAATGTTTATAAAGACAAAAATTGAAATAACGTTTAATCAAATAATGATGTGGTCATTAATTGATCTGATTTTCGAATCTCAGAAGACTTCAGATTTTATGTGATCATTCTTTGGGTAAAAGAAATATTGATAAAGATGGTCAAGGTCATCCTAAATATAAAGCTGTTAAATGAAAAAAAAATTGAACTTCCAGACAAAGTTTCATACTCAGAAAAACATCCTGTATGTGAAGAGAAAGGGGGGGGGGGGGAGAGTTTTCAAAGGTCACATATTATAAATGTCAAGGTCATTATGTTAACTTTGCTTAAATTGATTATTGCTTTGAAGAATGTCAAAACAGTGGTACAAATATGATAAATCTCACAAATCATAAACAGAAATTGATAGTCTAGCTTTACAACATATATTCAGTTAAGAATCAGTATCAGCTGTTTTTGCACAGTCATTTCCCTGGTTCATCACTAATTTTCAATCAACTCAATGAAAAAAAACTGTAGCATTTTCTAATCTCATGGTTTTACAATATTGGTTTGGTAAGTCAAAATACTCTGCACTTACTGTCATGCCATGGGTGTTACCGGATCTGTCTCCGAAGTGTTCATCATGCTGACCTTTCTAGTTTCACTTTCCATTTTTTCGGAAAAAATCTTCGGTTTTATTCTTTACATGCTTGCATTTATATCCGGGAAGAGACATGACATGATTACTTGACTTTCAGATCAGGGTTTGCCGTTTGGAGAACATTGTTTCAGCCTCTGTCGTTGGACTGTATGCTTTTTAACAGATGGTATTACACTTCTGATATCTTTTAAATTACTGATGTTAAAATTAAGTGACGTAGTGCCAATGGAAGTATGCCTTGTGCAGGTCTGGTACAATCACTAGATTTAGCTACGTAGCTTGAATTACCTACATAGCTTTATTTACCTACCTGAAGTAGCTTTATTTACCTACTGAATCAGACTTATTTCTTAAATTATCATTTTTCCCAGAAAGTGCAGAAAATTGTACTTTGATGCAGCGATAATTTTCAACTTTGAACTCATCTGAAAACAATTCATGAAAAAATCACTCTTGGAGCTGTGTCTTTTTCTGCGCAATTGCAGTCAAAGTTCTAAAAGTTTTGGGGCTAAATACAACAGTTAATTTGTTACCTAAGAGTTACTTCTTGAGTGAAATAACAAAGAAAACCAGTTTTTTAGCTCACCTGAGCCGAAGGCTCAAGTGAGCTTTTCTGATCACATTTTGTCTGTAGTCCGTCTGTCCGTCTGTCTGTCTGTCCGTCTGTCTGTCCGTCTGTAAACTTTTCACATTTTCGACTTCTTCTCAAGAACCACTGGGCCAATTTCAACCAAACTTGCCACAAAGTATCCTTGGGTAAAGGGGATTCAAGTTTGTTCAAATGAAGGGCCATGCCTTCTTCCAAGGGGAGATAATTAAGAATTCGTGAAAAATTAATGGCATAATTAAAAAATCTTCTTCTCAAGAACCACTGTGCTTGAAAACATGAAACTTATATGGAAGCATTCTCAGGTAGTGTAGATTTAAATTTGTTCAAATCATGACCCCCGGGGGTAGGGTGGGGCCGCAATGGGCGATCAAAGTTTTACATAGGAAATATACAGGAAAAATCTTTAAAAATCTTCTTCTCAAGAACAGCAAAGCCATAATTGGTCATATTTATATGGTAGCATCCTCAGATAGTGTAGATTCAAGTTTCTTCAAATCATGACCCCCGGGGGTAGGGTGGGGCCGCAATGGGCGATCAAAGTTTAACATAGGAAATATACAGGAAAAATCTTTAAAAATCTTCTTCTCAAGAACAGCAAAGCCATAATTGGTCATATTTACATGGAAGCATCCTCATGTAGTGTACATTCAAGTTTGTTCAAATCATAACCCCCGGGGGTCGGGTGGGGCCACAATGGGCGATCAAAGTTTTACATAGGAATATATAGGAAAAATCTTTAAAAATCTTCTTCTCAAGAACAGCAAAACCATAATTGGTCATATTTACATGGAAGCATCCTCAGGTAGTGTAGATTCAAGTTTGTTCAAATCATAACCCCCGGGGGTCGGGTGGGGCCACAATGGGCGATCAAAGTTTTACATAGGAACACATAGTAAAAATCTTCTTCTCAAGAACAGCAAAGCCATGATTGGTCATATTTATATGGTAGCATCCTCAGATAGTGTACATTCAAAGTTCAAATCATGACCCCCGGGGGTCGGGTGGGGCCACAATGGGCAATCAAAGTTTTACATAGGAACACATAGTAAAAATCTTTAAAAAAAACTATTTGTTAAGAATAGCAAAGCCATGATTGGTCATATTTATATGGTAGCATCCTCAGATAGTGTACATACAAATTTGTTCGAATCATGACCCCTGGGGGTCGGGTGGGGCCACAATGGGCGATCAAAGTTTTACATTGGAACACATAGTAAAAATCTTTAAAAAAAACTATTTGTTAAGAATAGCAAAGCCATGATTGGTCATATTTATATGGAAGCATTCTTAGATAGTGTACATTCAAGTTTGTTCAAACATGACCCCTGGGGGTCGGGTGGGGCCACAATGGGTGATCAAAGTTTTACATAGGAATACATAGGTTAAATCTTTAAAAATCTTCTACTCAAGAACAGCAAAGCCATGATTGGTCATATTTAAATGGAAGCATCCTCAGATAATGTAGATTCAAATTTGTTCAATTTATGACACCCCCCCCCCCCCCCCCCTCCCCAACCACTTTTATATTTAAACTTTTCAACCTTTCAAGATTGAAGTGATTTCTGCTTTTTCCTAGCCATAGTGCTCAGGTGAGCGATGTGGCCCCTGGGCCTCTTGTTTGGTTAACATGAGCACAATGTGAAGTAATCATACTTATCCATGCCTCATCGCACACAAGGTGATGTACAGGAAATCCAGTCAATGCGCCCCCTAACAAAACCGTCCCGGTCAAAGCGCCCCCTAATTATAGTCAAAGAACCCCCTGAATTTGGTCAAAGCGCCCCCTGATTTTGGTCAAAGCGCACCCTTATTTTGGTCAAAGCGCCCCTTAAATATTTTTATAGAATATTCGTTTGCAAAAAGCACGCTAAATTTGGTCTCTTTACTAACTTACGCTATTTATTTCTTTTGTTTGTTCATTGTGACCCATGAAATAATTAATAGATTGACAAATTAAGTTTGAATAATCTTATTGAAAACATATCCAAAGGAATGAGAATGTTCGCCAGTATCATTTAATTATGCCCCCCGCCCTAAAAAAAATTGATAATGATACCGTTGCCCATCTCTTGCCACATGGAGGCCTTCTCAATAAGCTGATAAGAGCCATAATTTTGAAGAATAAATGAAAAAAATTTAAACCCAAAGATGACTTTTTGAACTTCAAAATTCAATTATTAAACCCAGTTATTGGATAGGATAACAACTGGATCATTACCAAATTACGGTTGACTTTTGTTTGTTTGGGCGCTTTGACCAATACTTGGGGACGGTATATTAACATCAATTTCCTGTAAAATTATGTTAGGGGCGCTTTGACCAAAATTTGACCAATGCTTGGAGACGGTATTTTTACATCAATTTCCTGTAAAATTATATTAATAGGGGGCACTTTGACCGAAATCAAGGTGGGCTCTTTGACCAAGATCAGGGGGCACTTTTGAAGTACTTGGGGACGGTATTCTTATCAATTTCCTGTAAAATTATATTAGGGGGCCCTTTGACCAAAATCAAAAGGGGCTCTTTGACCAAAATCAGGGGGCACTTTGACCAATACTTGGGGACGGTATTTTGACATCAATTTCCTATACAATCATAGTAGGGGGTGCTTTGACCAAAATCAGGGGGCGCTTTGACCAAAATCAAGGGGCTCTTTGACCAAAATCATAGGGCGCTTTGACCGGGATGGTTTTGTTAGGGGGCGCATTGACTGGCTCCCATTTACAGTTACTCAAACAATGGAAATGCATCTTTTCCTTAAAAGTGTTCAAAAGCAGCAATGTTAAAACTATCTCTGCTTTGGATTGCTTTTTAAACTGTTTTGGAGCAAGCCCAAGTAAAAATATTATCAAACCTGTCTTGGGACAGGTCCACAACACAGTTAGAATGCATCCTACATACCTGCAATGTGGCAGAAAATTGCAGAATCGCTCTGGAATGGTTTTAGAGAAAACAAATGAACAAATGAAGCAGAATTGAAAATGTTGTATATTATCACAATGGTGTTATTTTTGTTATAAGTAATGGTTTTTTATTGTCCTTAATTTAAAGAACATCTTAACTACAACAAGAGGCCCAAAGGCCTTAACGGTCACCTGAGTACAACAATTTAGAGGATCCATAAACTCATAAACGAAGCTTTGTTGCCCAATAGCAAGGAAAATAGTACGATTAAGATCAAAATAGATGTCTCTCAGGGATCGACATTAACGGTTGTCCGATTGCCCGGGACAAGTAAATTATCAGTTCGGGCAAGTGAAATTGTCGACGTACTTGTCCGATCGGGCAAGTGATTTTTTTTTTATACAGATGTACATATTTATTAAGTTGACGTTAATTTATAAATAAAACAATAAATTGAACACTTGATTTCCGCAACTGACAATGTTTTTGCATTCGGAATTCCTTGCTAGCGTTTCTGGATTATACCGTTCATTTAAAAATCGGGTTCGTTATTTTCTTTTGTAGTAAATACGCTCTACGTCTAACAAAATTGTGTTAACTTCTTATTAGGAAATTAGATTATTTATTCACGCACAGAATATAAGTACAGTGTAACACAATGTATCCTGATCAAGATAAGATGTATGTTTCGTAGCAACTATCTTCCTTTAGCGTTGCTTCACAATTGTCTCTGAAAATCACGATTCACAAAAGGATCCTACCGAAAATAATTTTTTAAAATATGAATTATATTAAAAGGAAAAGGAGGGTTATTGCTGCATGGCAGTGTGTGTTAACAGGTTGAATTTACAAGTACTGTGGTATACATTTATGTACTAATGCAGCATTGAAACTTTTTCAGGTAGCTCAACTTGCCAAATTGTCAGTAGTGTATTTGGTCACATTTTTTATATCATAACGTTTACAGTAATAAATAATTTTCTTCTCAAGTTCTTTCTTAATTTTGGGCAACCATGTTTTTCATTCGGACAAGTCAAAGTTTGAGATCACATGCCCGAAGGTCAAGTGAATCTGAAAGTTAATGTCTATCCCTGTCTCTATTATTACCTCTCACATTGGCCTCACTTGGCCCTTGAAGAACATTTAAAAAGATAAGTTATTTTTGTTTCATTTTTATTCACCTATTATTTCCAAGTCTACCTGATTATTAAAACTATGAAAGTACTTTTTGCATTATACAATAAATGTTCTTGCATAATTTTCTTATTCTATTAATCTTTCAAATACATTATCTACAGTGATTAATTATCAAAGGTGAATGGCAAAGGTGAATAACTTCACTAAGTAGAATACAAATTAATAGAGCCCTGGCAAGGACCAGAACACTTGACTAAATGGTCCAGATGTTCAAAATTCTGGTAAAAATACCTTGCTTATTAAAACTTTTACTCTGTTTGCTTCTAATATGCCCTGGAGCAGAGGAGATTTTCAAAGAAATAATGCATTTTCACTAGTTAGCACAGCTCTACCCTAACACCAGAACCCTTGACCTAGGGTCATGAAAATTTACAAATTTGGAAGAGGTACCCTCATCATCATAACTATGCAATTAGTTGAAGATTTTCAAAGAATTCACACATGTTCACTATATAATCAAAAAGAGCCCCCCCCCCCTCCCCCGAGAAACAACAGAACCCCTGGGACCACAAGTTTTAAAAAATTTGTAAAAGCATCCTTGCTCATCATAACTATACACTTGTTTCTTTGCTTTATAACCAGGAGTAGAAAAAAATATTTTGAAAGAAATAATGCATTTTCACTATATAATCAATAGAGCCCCCCACCCCCTAACACCAGAACCCCTGACCCAGGGACCATGAAATTCACAATTTTGGAAGAGGCTGCCATGCTCATCATAACTTTGCACTTAGTTAGTTTATTTAATACCCAGGAGCAGAGAAGAAGATTTTCAAAGAAATAATGCATTTTCACTATATAATCAATAGAGCCCCGCCCTAACACCCAAACCCCTGACCCAGGGGCCATGAAATTCACAATTTTGGAAGAGGCAGGCATGCTCATCATAACTATGTACTCAGTTAGTATATTTCATACCCAGGAGCAGAGAAGAAGATTTTCATAGATTTAATGCATTTTCACTATATAATCAATAGAGCCCCCCACCCCCTAACACCAGAACCCCTGACCCAGGGACCATGAAATTCACAATTTTGGAAGAGGCTGCTATGCTCATCATAACTTTGCACTTAATTAGTTTATTTAATACCCAGGAGCAGAGAAGAAGATTTTCAAAGAAATAATGCATTTTCACTATATAATCAATAGAGCCCCGCCCTAACACCAAAACCCCTGACCCAGGGGCCATGAAATTCACAATTTTGGAAGAGGCAGGCATGCTCATCATAACTATGTACTCAGTTAGTATATTTCATACCCAGGAGCAGAGAAGAAGATTTTCAAAGATTTAATGCATTTTCACTATATAATCAATAGAGCCCCCCCCCCCCCCCAACACCAGAACCCCTGACCCAGGGGCCATGAAATTCACAATTTTGGAAGAGGCAGTCTTGCTCAACATAACTATGTACTTAGTTAGTTTATTTAATACCCAGGAGCAGAGAAGAAGATTTTCAAAGAAATAATGCAATTTCACTATATGATGTATATAGCCCCACCCTAGCACCACAACCCCTGACCCAGGGGCCATGAATTTCACAATTTTGGTAGAGGGCTCATTGCTTATTACAATCATGCCAACAGTTTGACTGCTTGATGTCCAGGAGTAAAGAAGAAGATTTTTAAAGATTGCATTAATTTTGGTGGTTTTAGCCCCACCCCTCAGGCCCCAGGGGGGCAGGGACCATGAAATTCACAATTTTTGTTCCCCTTCACCCATAGGTGCTATATGCCAAAATTGGTTGAAATTGGTTGAGTGGTTTCAGAGAAGAAGCTAAAAATGTTCAAATGTTAACGCACGACGCATGCCGACGGACAAAAACGGATAGCAATAGGTCACCTGAGTGACTCAGGTGACCTAAAAACACTGAGATAAAGTTATTTATACATATTTTAGTTCCTTTTAGATGAGTTCTTTTAAAAATGAATGGGCTGAATTAACAGAAATGTGGCGAACCATAGGCGTCGTCAGTTTTATCCATAAAGCAATGTAAATAACAACCAGTTCGCTTCGCTCGCTATGTTCACAAAGCTCACTGGTTGTTGCTAACGTTGCTTTATGGATAAAACTGCAAAACTGCTGACTCCTGTGGGCGAACACATCAAGGGGGAATGTGGATCAAGGTGTTTGCTCTTGAAAGACATAATTTCCTGGGTAAAAGGACCCAATTACGCCAATGTTGGTATACAGTTTATTTTGTTTTAATTATAGGGTACCCCAGTAAAGGATGTTGTGATTCCTGACAATGCACAAAAGACTCTGCTGCTTCAGAAACATGCTGACTACATAGCTGCATATGGGGTCAAAAAAGATGACTATGTAAGCTAGTTTTGTTTTGTCCATGACATTTCTTGTAATTTACATACTGTAAGGTACATGTATGAGTAGTGTAGACTCTAGAAAATAATTTTTTACATACAGTAATGTAAAATAACATATGGAGTGTGTTCCTGAATTGTAATTAATAATAATTTTAAGAAAACTCAAATTTTTCGAGGTAGAACAGTGGGTTGGCTTGTCAATCAAGTTGGCAGCTATTGTTCTTACCTAATTGACAAGTGGTATGGTATTAATTTCTGGACAAATATGTGGATGGAACGAAATCATTCTAAACTTATGTATTAATTGGGCCAATACTGTAAACCAACTATTATTCGCGCCAACTTTTATTCGTGATTCGTCAGTTTGAAATCAATCTGCGACGATTAATTTTCGCGACTGAGGAAACATTCTCTACAAATACTGTACAGCAGGTTAAAATCGCGGTCGGAAAAGATCGCGATTTGTTCAATTTGCAGCAAATCGCGGTCGTTTGAATTCGCGGAAATGAAAAATTATACAAAAACTTTTTCCGCACTGCAAGTATTTTCCTTGCATATTGTGTCGATTCTGAACCTGGTTAAATAGATTGAAACACCGTATTGATCCCGATTGGAAGACAAAATGTTGTACGATTTACACTTTTATGCATTCATATATATTTTCTTCTTTCTTTCTCTTGTTTTCTTTCTTTCTTTTTGTTAAATATTTTTGAAATACATATGAGTCTATACGCGAGTGTTTTATTTAAGTGATTTCCAGTCGTATCCCAAACAATGGCAAACATATATATATAAAAAAAAAAAGAAGAAGCCCTTTGGCAGGTGTTCGTTCATGAATAGGTATGTTTTGAGTAGAGTACTGAGTAGTATTTACTGCAGGTCTTTTTAATCCCTCTGAATCTAAATCAGTTGTCAGTACCGATAGTCAAAATGTTGAACTGTTAATAAAATTGAATTAATGTGTAACAGTGTTGTCTTTACATTAAAGATAATAAGACTGAGTGATATGCACGGGTGAATTCTGACAATACATGTTTTATAGATAATTACATGGCGCCTCTACTGGGTGACAGAATTAAATGTTAGTTTTAGATGTTTATTTATCAATTAAGCTTTTAAAAAACAACAACTACTTGTTAGTGATTGATCCGTACACCCTCATAATAAGGAAGACAGTCTACATCTCTGCTATATTAATGACTGCTATTTATGTTTACAAGGAAACGTAAATAGAGTTACCGAATATAATCACAAATATCGGTAATATTTCAATTTATCCTTATCAATTTTTGAAGAATTATTCACTGTATGTTGAATTCGCGGAATTTTTATTTCCACGAATATAGTGAATATTATCTCCGCTAGTTAATTTCCTGCTGTACAGTACAAAGCAAAATAAATGGTTCGCGGCGATTAATATTCGCGAGTTATGGTAGGTCGCGAAACTTGCGAATATTTCTCGCACGCGAATTAAAGTTGGTTTACAGTAAGCATGTGCTGCTTTATTCCTTTGAAATGTTTGAAAATTTTGTAGGAGTACTGCATAACAGAATATTTGCGGTTGAGTGGAATGTACTGGGGTCTGACAGTGATGGACCTAATGAAACAGCTGGACAGAATGAACAAGGAGGAGGTTCTCCAGTTTATTCAGCAGTGCCAGCACGAGTGTGGAGGGCTGGGTGCCAGTATAGGTCATGACCCCCATCTTCTGTACACACTTAGTGCAATACAGGTACACGTTTCCTTCATCTTGTAAGTTGTGATGGGAGATAAGTCAGATAACACATGTCTTTTGATACATCATATGTGACATTTCTACATATTAAAATTTGTATTTAACATAAATTTACTTTTTTCTTTCCAAAGTTATTACTTTTGTATTGAAATTACAAGCCAAAATGGGTTTATGGTAGCTTTGATCACATTCAAACTCATATCTTACCTTCAACCTGTGGGATGCATTATTTTGTTAAAACTCAACAACATATTAAATTTAGTCTGTCAAACCTTTATGATATCACTGAGAAATTATGTCAACAATTTATGACATTACAATAAATAGGTGGTCATGTGAGAACCTGTTTTCAAACAGTTATGAATATGCATTTCTCAAATAGTGTACTATAAGGAAAACATTTGCAGATCCTCACAATGTATGATGCTTTAGACGTGATAAACACAGAAAAAGTTGTTGAGTTTGTCTGCTCTCTTCAGCAGGAGGATGGCAGTTTTTATGGAGACAAATGGGGTATGTAGTGGTGAGATAATGTGTTGAATTTTGTGTAATTTGATTTTCAAAGAATTAAACATATTTTTGTGTTCAAAATGTTGCAGATTTCCTTAATATTGCTTTTTAGAGGATAAATTTACAAAGCATAGCAATAGCAAAGCACAAAAAATTATATTTTTTTTACAGGATAGTTTGAAAGAGGTTACAATTGCATGAATATTCATAAGTTAACTGATTTTAAAAATACAGTTGAAATTCAGTATCTCAAATGTTGATAACTCAAACACCATGGATATGTCAAAATTATTTGGAAATCCTAATCACTTTTTTTAAGAGCACTTTAACCTCAATATCTGAATATCTCAAAGTTTTATCACCTTCCTATTCAGTCTGAGATAATGAGGTCTGACTGTAAGTGAAAAATATATGATGGAACAAGTTTTTATTTCATACCTTTACAATTTAAAACAATTTGAGAATTGTATATCTGGCATAATATTTTACAATTACCCAGTGTGGATACACCTGAAAAACTATGAAATGCATGGATTGCTACAAGAGAAAAAAAAAGGTGAAAAACACTGTAAACATTTAAATTTTGCATTTCAGGTGAAGTGGATACTCGTTTTTCTTTCTGTGCTGTTGCCTGTCTTGCTTTATTGGTAAGCTCTACAGATATTCTTCTCTGAATTTATTATCTCTTTTTGTTAATACTTCTGATGTGAATTCAAATGTTCCTTTTCTTTATAGAACAAATTAGATGCCATAGATGTAGATAAAGCTGTAGAATTTGTGCTAACTTGTATGAACTTTGATGGTGGGTTTGGTTGTCGACCCGGAAGTGAGACTCACTCTGGACAGGTCTATTGTTGTGTGGGGATGTTAGCTATCACTGGAAGACTGCATCATGTGAATGCTGATCTGTTAGGATGGTGGTTGTGTGAAAGGCAACTCCCCTCAGGGGGTCTGAATGGTATGTTCTGATGAAAGATATTTTATGAAGTTTAACACACACATGTATTTCACAAATGCAATTCATGTTTCCATAGCATTTTCCTACTGACTTTAATAGGATAGCAGTCAAAACAAACAAAATTAATGTTTGTTGAAATACAGTGTAAATATTCAAAACTTTTGGCAGGACGGCCTGAAAAATTACCAGATGTGTGTTACTCTTGGTGGGTACTAGCGTCCCTTAAGATTATTGGAAAAATTCATTGGATAGACAAGGTATGATGTTACCAGAGGCACTTAATAATTTTATTTAAATGTGTATTTGATACAATTGCAATGTGCAGTCTTCAAGGAAAAAAAAAGTTGTTAATCTCTTTATGAAAGCAAATGCTAGAAAGGCCTACAATATGCTGGTTCAGTGTGTTATTAACACTGTCATGCATATCAAGGAAGTGAAGAACATAGCTTTACCTGTGTTAGTTGCATACATTTTACTTCTAGTTTTGCTCCAAGTGATAGATTTATTTTCTTAAGTCAGAGTCTGGATGTGACATTAATCTGATAGATATACCAAATTGTATATTTTTAGCTCACCTGAGCCAAAGGCTCAAGTGAGCTTTTCTGATCACTTTTTGTCCGGCGTCTGTCTGTCTGTCCGTCTGTCTGTAAACTTTTAACATTTTCGACTTCTCAAGAACCACTGGGCTTGCCACAAAGTATCCTTGGGTGAAGGGGATTCAAGTTTGTTCAAATGAAGGGCCACACCCTCTTTCAAGGGGAGATAATAAAGAATTAGTGAAAAATTAATAGCATCTTTAAAAAATCTTCTTCTCAAGAACCACAGGGCCAGGAAAGATGAAACTCACGTGGGAGCATCCTCAGGTAGTGTAGATTCAAATTTGTTCAAATCATGAGCCCCGGGGGTAGGGTGGGGCCACAATGGAGGATCAAAGTTTTACTTAGAAATATACTGGAAAAATCTTTAAAAATCTTCTTCTCAAGAACAGCAAAGCCATGATGAGTCATATTTATATGGAAGCATCCTCAGGTAGTGTAGATTCAAATTTGTTCAAATCATGACCCCTGGAGGTAGGGCGGGGCCACAATGGAGGATCAAAGTTTTACATAGAAATATACAGGAAAAATCTTCTTTTCAATAACAGCAAAGCCATGATTAGTCACATTTATATGGAAGCATTCTCAGGTAGTGTAGATTCAATTTTGTTCAAATCATGACCCCCGGGGGTAGGGAGGGGCCACAATGGAGGATCAAAGTTTTACATAGAAATATACTGGAAAAATCTTTAAAAATCTTCTTCTCAAGAACAGCAAAGCCATGTTGAGTCATATATATATGGAAGCATCCTCAGGTAGTGTAGATTCAAATTTGTTCAAATCATGACCCCCAGAGGTAGGGAGGGGCCACAATGGAGGATCAAAGTTTTACATAGAAATATACAGGAAAAATCTTCTTCTCAATAACAGCAAAGCCATGATTAGTCACATTTATATGGAAGCATTCTCAGGTAGTGTAGATTCAAGTTTGTTCAAATCATGACCCCTGGGGATAGGGCAGGACCACAATGGGTGATCAAAGTTTTACATAGAAATATACTGGAAAAATCTTTAAAAATCTTCTTCTCAAGAACAGCAAAGCCATGTTGAGTCATATATATATGGAAGCATCCTCAGGTAGTGTAGATTCAAATTTGTTCAAATCATGACCCCCAGAGGTAGGGAGGGGCCACAATGGAGGATCAAAGTTTTACATAGAAATATATAGGAAAATATCTTCTTCTAAGGAACTGCAAAGCCATGAATAGTCATTTTGATATGGAAGCATCCTCAGATAGTGTAGATTGAAGTTTGTCAAAATGACGACCCCCGGGGATATGGTTGAGCTACAAAGGGAGATTGAAAATTTTACATAGAAACATATAGGAAGATATCTTCTTCTCAAGAACTGAAAATCATGTTTTATTTAGTCATTTTGATATGGAAGCATCCTCAGGTAATGTAAATTCAATTTTTTTAAAATGATGACCCCTGGGATAGGGAGGAGCCACAATGGGAGATCAAATTTTTATAAAGAAATATATGGGAAATGTTTTTTTTAAATTATCTCAAGTACAACAAAGCCATTTGGTCCACACTTCATTTCACTATGCACCTTTATATATAAACAGAACACCTTAATATGCATTGTAGCGCACCGAGCAGGTTGACGCCAGGTTTATTATATTGAATATATTCAAACATACAAACAAAGCAGTTTTGATATAACATTAGGCCCACATACTAAAAGGCAAAAACACAAAAAGCGAATATAATAATAATGCAATAAGATTTAAAGCCTCCTCCGCCGCCCAGGAAAAACCATAGATAAAAAACAAATATTTTGAAGAAACTATGGAAACCTGTGTGTCCGCGGCAAATTGCAGAGTAAGCGAAAAAGTTGAGTGGCGGACCCTCACTCATGTTTTAAACATCCAAAAAATTTATACCAAAATTTATGAAAATATAAATTTTACTATTGTATTTATAAAAAATAAAAATAAAAAACACGACTTGCTCGGGATAGCGTGCGCTAGAAAGTGAACTCATACTAACCACCCGTAAATACAATCGAACACGTTTTCTCAATACCGACATTTCATTGGCTGAAACCTACATAACAATTTCACCTTAGTAACACCACACTTTCGTATTCGTTTACATGTCGTCAGGACAATTATTTTTCGCTATACTTCGTAACGCGAAAAAATGTAAGTCCACACTTCATTTCACTATGCACCTTTATATATAAACAGAACACCTTAATATGCATTGTAGCGCACCGAGCAGGTTGACAATAGACATTACCAAAGAAAGGGAGAGAAAAGAGCAAGAAAAATTATATATTTATAACTCACAACAACAATTGTTTTGACACATGTTAAACACCTTTTATTAACACCAACATTTGCAGCAGCAGTTGCACCTCCTGATCTGTTTTGTATAACGTAGAAACATGGCGTATGAACAAGCGCTTGTGGTACCTTTTGCAATAAGTACTTCAATTCCATCTCTATATTGACCATTTTTGCATTTTTCAATAATAATTTTCAAATAATTTTGTTCAACAATGATATTATTGCATTTCAAAGAACTCAGTTCGTTAAATCTCAAAAAAACCCAGCAAAAGCTATCAAAATCGTAGCTAAATTTCTCAATAAAAGAACATCTGTACTGTCAGTATACAAATCACACAAATCTTGTAACATCTGACGGTCGACTGGATCTTTCCTGCGCACCGGTCTACCAGTTAAACGTTTTGCTGATTCCTGTAATGATTCCACGAAGGAATTTTCGGTAGGATCTGGATAACCACTAATTTCAAGCATCCATTTCATCGAATAAATAGCACTGTTCACTGTAGAATACGACGCACCAGAATTTAGCGAATAAGTAATATATAATGCAACGTGTACAGGCTGCGCTGGAATTTCACTTTGCTTGTGCTCATTTATGAACTTCTTCCATCGTTGAAAATTATGTTTATAGGCCTTGTTGGTGCCGTCACTCTTCGATGATAAGAGATGTCCACACATATGCTCACTGAAAGACCCAAGCTTGCTGCCCAATGAAATGCCACTATCAGTAACTGCTTTGTTTATATGTAACTGCACTCCTAATCCTGGAAAAATTATCATTACCATTAAAAAATATCCATAATCTTGTGCACTGACTGTCAATTCTAGAATTGAATCCTCAATACCAACATCTTAAATTTCAGTGGAAATTTTGCAAATACTGATTTGTTACTCCTGCCATGCGTTATTAATTTTTCATTAGGCAAATAATCATAAAATTTAACAAAATGTTTGAAACAGTTTTCCTCAAATATCAAAGGCCAATATGGAGATGACTTCCACTCTGGAATAATCAACGTACCTGAGGCCTTTTCCGCTACCATTTTGTTAATAACTCTAGGTATAAAACTGGGCGCGGGAACTAACCAATTATTTTCACTTACCCATACCTGTGTAAAAGCGTCAATTACCATCTGTACCGGGACACCAATATTTTGAATTGAATCTTTCACATTTTTTATTGTAATGAGTTGCAAACCTATCAACATTATGAACTCCCCACAATTTCTCATAAATGTCAAATACCTCATCGTGAACTGACCAATCGTCCATGTCAGTTACACGGCTCAAAAAATCTGCCCTTTTGTTTTCATTTCTAGGCTTCCATACATTTTGAACCTGAACACTGTTTTCACTACAAGTCTCAAATATTTGATTTGCAATAATTTGTAAATATGGCTTTTTGCTCCCAACTTGCATAATTTTTGAAACGTTTTTACTGTCCGAAATTACATTTACCTTTGTGTTTTCAATGATACTGACTTTACTTTTCATAACCCTGATAACAGTTTCAAGCTCTCTCCATGTTGAGCTCTGCATCGCTTCTTCTTCTGTCCAATTTTCAACTACACTACCCATAAAACATTTTCATTTCTCTCATTCAAACTTTCAAAATAACCACCAAAGCCTACATCTGAGGCATCGCAATATAAATACAAGTTGCATACATCTGATGCGCTTACCAAATCAATTGAACAACCATTTTCATTCAATGTTGACACACTTTTGCGCTAAACTCAATTTCTTTCAAAGCTTCCGCAATTATTTTTACCCGAGCTTCCCAGCTAGCTTTGTTTGATATGCAGTAATATAAAAATCTTGTTCTCATTCGAACAATATCACCAAAAATGACTTTCATAGATATTATTTGACCAACAATTTAGCCAAAAATTTTACATGAAAATAAAGAACATTTTTCTGTACTTCGCAGTGTAAAGCATCTAAGCAAGAATTTAAACTATGAAGTTTGTCACCACTGATGTGAACTTGACCTTAATCTGTATCCCACTGCACACCTAACCATAAACAATTTTGACTTGGACCCCAATTACTTTTTTTTTTTTTTTTTTTTTTTTTTTTGCAAACAAGAAGCCCAAATTTTGAAAAATGTGTTTTATTGAATTACTTGCATTTAATGCCTCATCAAAATTTCTGCCTGCAGCTATACCGTCATCTAAAAATGTAATAATCTTTATTCCTTCTGATCTTAAGCGTTCACCGGTTCTCGAAGAACTTTAGAAAATATGTACCCTGCTGTAGAAATGCCAAAAAGTAGTACATTAAAAACAAAATAAGAAACTTTTCCATTTTCTTTCCATGAAAATCCCAAATATTGTCGATGTTCCTCGTATATCTCTAAATGATGATAAGCTGATTTTAGGTCGAAAGTAAACATGAAATCTCCGACTTTAAGCATTTCCTTTGCTGTTATAGCATCCTCATATCTAAACTTAAACTTGTGTAAATGAGGATTAATATGTCTACAATCAAGTACGAACCTTGACTTACCGTTTCTATTTTTAACCGCAGTCAAAGGATTTACAACTGTAGGTTTTTCAGACATCCGTGACACACTCCCCTTTTCTACCAAATTTTTGATCTCACCTGTGACGAAATCTGGTTCATCTCTCGCTGACCTATTGTTGTTTAATTCAATAGCCACAGGATTAGTTTTAAATGGAATTCTATAACCTGACTTTATAACATCCAGGACTATTTTACCTGTTCCAATTTTCTCCCACTCATCTTAGTGTGATCTTAAGCGACCAACTGGAGATTTTTTATTTATTATATCATTAAAATATGCCCAATTTGAAATAGATAAAACATCATCTAAGTTTTCACTTATCTTATTTGATTTGTCATCTTTCTTTGTGCAATCTCGACTCCAGTGCCCCTTTGTCCCGCATTCAAAACATCTGCCGGATTTTCCACTGCTCGTTGATTTCTCGTCAGTCTCCATGCGAGTGGCTGTTGCCGGTTTCTTTTGATAGGGTTCGAATCTAGATCGCTTCCTCCCGTTGAAAACTTTCCTTTCGGCCCTCATCTGTGCTCTGTACATCTTCTTCTCATCATCCGAATCGTCTGCTATCGGGTTGGCTTCGTACTCTTGAACCACTCTCCAACCGAGCTGCGACGAATCAGCTAACTTAATAACTTTTTGACGATTCTTAACCAATTTTATACCTTCAGCGATACTGCTTGTGGCTGACTCCACTCCGTCGTCGCTGTTCAAATGCTCCCTGGCCTTCTTCAGTTTGGTTAGAACTATCGCTTCATGCTTATATTGGTTCTCATTTCCTTTTTTACGGAAAACATAATGCTCATTCAAATTTTCCTCAATTTTGCTAATTTGAGACGTGGAAATTTGCTGAATATTTTGTTGGAATACCGTCAAACGACTGTCCATCATATCTTTTAGATTGTCTAGTAATTCCGAATGTTGAAGAGACACTGCTCGATTAACTTCTTAAGAAATTGCACCTTGTATCTGCCTGGCGTCCATGACCAAAAACACGACTTGCTCGGGATAGCGTGCGCTAGAAAGTGAACTCATACTAACCACCCGTAAATACAATCGAACACGTTTTCTCAATACCGACATTTCATTGGCTGAAACCTACATAACAATTTCACCTTAGTAACACCACACTTTCGTATTCGTTTACATGTCGTCAGGACAATTATTTTTCGCTATACTTCGTAACGCGAAAAAATGTAATTATATTGACATGAAAGCATCATCAGATAGTTAAAAATCCCCCCCCCCCCCCCCCCCCCCCGTAATCTTTTTCATACTGAACTGATTTGTGCTTTTGCCTAGCCAATGTGCTCAGGTGAGCGATGTGGCCCATGGGCCTCTTGTTGTATTGATGGGTACATGTGTATTGCAGTTGATTAATCTGTTTTTTTCCTGTATTGCAGGACAAACTAATACAGTTTATTCTAGCTAGTCAGGATGAGGAGACGGGAGGGTTTGCTGATCGTCCTGGGGATATGGTAGATCCCTTTCACACACTTTTTGGGATTGCTGGTCTATCATTACTGGGAGATGACAGAATCAAGCCAGTGAATCCCGTGTTCTGTATGTCAGAGGAAGTGATTCAGAGGGCGGGAATAAGAGTAGAGCTGTTGTGAAGGAAACTACAAATCAGGGTTAAATACAAGCAACTACTGTGATATGAACACATACACACACTCGATCTAACACTTTTTTAAAGTGCTTATTTAAAGGTTATGAAAGGCATTAAAAGTAAGCTACACAATCTTTATACATGTACCAGGAAAGGCCTGTTAAAGACCAGTGAGTCATTGATGAATTTTATAAGAAGTGTATCTAAACATGTTTTGAAAAACAATTTTAGATTTACTTACACATATGGTTAGTTCCCTTTTACCTTGATAAGATATTCACATAGGTAATGTATAGCAGCAAATCCCTTTAACAGATTCTTCAAATAAAGTACATGTATGTTACTGGATATACCCTATATGTATGTCAAAGACACTAAGCATGCAAATGTTTTCTCTGTACATGTACTAAATATCATTTATATATAATCATTTAATTAATATGTTAAATATAATTGTAATGAAGATGTCAGTAGATTTATAGTAAAGTTAACAAAAATCATGGTGTCAATATATATTGTTTTGTTTATTGTATTTAGAAAGAATTAATTTAAACTGTACATGTCCTAATCATTATTTATTTTTCAATGCATATATTTACATTTCATACAACTGTATAATGTAAATTTCATTTGTTAAGGGATAAAGTTGGTGAAATTCATATGCTATTTTTTTAATGTGCAATTGTGATCAGATCTTTAATAAACAATAAGATGAGGTATGGATTTATTTTGTAAAAGATATCGAGGTCACTCTGGTGACCTGTTACTATCTGTTTTCTTGGGAGAAAACTTTTCATATTTTCTACATCTCCTTCAGATCCACTAAGGAATTCCAACCTCGAGTATCTCAAATTGTTAGAGATATGGATGCAATTTGTTCTCTTCTTTGAAGGGTTATACTTCTTTCAAATACTTAAAAAAATAGAAAAAAATTTAGGTTGAGTCATTTAAAATACTTTCCAAGAACCACTGAGATAGAAATTGTAAAAAAAAAAAGCTGACTTTGACATGCATTTTAATCAGTAATGATTCAGTTAATATAGTTGTGGCCATGATGGCCTTGCAGAAGCGATCCCAAGAGAACAATCTTTAATCTCAAGAATTAAAAGCCACAAATGTCACAATTAGAGGTGAATATCTTTATGTAGGATAAATTTGATTTTTTTCTAGGGTGGGGGTGTTTAAAAACAAGAAGGGCAAAATTTGTAAAAATATTGGGAAAGTGGAGAGGTTGTGAAACACAATGTTTAATATTGTAATACTTTAAAAAGTTGTTACATTTTCATCTTTTCAATAGTTTATCAATATGCTTAGACATAATGTACTTGAATCACAATCATTTTCAGTTGTAATTTTCACAGAGTTTAGTTCAGTGCATACATGATTTTCTATTATCGTAAGGTTAGGTAAACATCATTTCGTTGTTTGCCAGCAACACCTGTAAATTTTAAACTATATCCTAATGTTTGTCTACCATGCAATCAAATTCTTGCAAACCCATTTTTCCCTCAACTACAACTACTATTACAAGCTATTGGTCAAAGACTTTTCTACACTTATGCATAGTATCTGATCTTGGGAAAATTCTGTAGAGTGTAGATCTCTTCAAGAGACATAATTCTGTTGTCAATTTTTAATTTCAATGAATGGTGTTGCAGCAAATGTAACAAACAGAATTTGTTTAAAAATGCACCTTTAAAAACACTTTTTGCCTGATTTGAATAAAACCTGATGCAAGTAAAATTGACATCAAGATACATTATTTTGGTGTAGTTTTTATTGGTACCAGGTTTTATTCTAATCAGGCAGAAAGTGTTCTTGAAGGTGCATTTTTAAACAAATTCTGTTATTACATCTGCTACTCCTCCAGTTTGATGTAGAGTATTGCTGCTCTCACAAAAACCAAAAACCAAAACCAAAAAAAAAAACAAAAAAACTTAATCTGATAAATTATTTCAAAATTATGGTGTCTGGATAGGGCCATTTGCAAAAACTCAACAGCGCGTTCAGAAAAACACGCCGTCACGCTAACACACAACACGCTGTTGGCGCGATGGCGTGTTTTCTGAATACGCTGTTGAGCTTTTACAAATGCCCTATCCGGATACCATACAAAATGCATCTCCTTGCTGTATGATTGAAAGAGGAAGTGTTGTAAGTGATAATTCTTTTTAAAAAAATCTTTCAAGTGCAGTTGCACTTTTTCCCACAAAATAGTTCATATAATTAGTCCAATTGCCTCGAAAGAGACTTGTGTTTAAAATATCGTTATTTACATGGTTTAATACATATAAGGTCATTTACATATTATAAAAAGAGTTTCTTCCCCTAACTCATTTTTATTAAAACAAACAATGAAGCAATGATATAATGAATTTATACAAATGAATGAAATCCACATATGATGAAAAATATTTACAATAAATGACTGTACACAATTTTATATGATTTACATCTTTGTATCCATTTCTGAAATAATTTACAAAAATTTTAAAAGTGAACAAGTTTTTTTTTTAAATCCCACAAGCAGATTTCTTATATCCCACATATTCATCCCAACCTTTCCGACATGTTTTAACAATCCAGTCATGTTCATCATCATCTAAAAAAAAAAGGTTGATATAAACTGATTTTTTTTAATATCAAGGACCTTTAAAGATTCAGAAACATACTTGAATATTTTTATTTATTTTCTTAACATATGGTGCCATTTATAATAAACTTCAATGAATAATCTTGCATTTCATTAATAATAACTCACCTGCATTTCTTAAAAATTTATGATTATAATCAACAACGACTCTTGTCTTAGGGTTATAGAAACCATCCCCACAGTCATAACAACCCTCAGGGATTTCTCTGGGTGGCACACGGTTGGTCAATTGTGATCTGCCTTTAAAAGAAATAAAGAACTCAATGTGAGCAGCTCTCTGTATTTAACATTCATTGTCTTTCTGTTCACTCATATAAAATTTTGTTTTAGTGATAATAAGTTTTCAAAAGAAGTCTAAATTATAATTTCATACAAGAATTAGTCCCCACTGATTTAATGATATCCACAGATACTAGAACCAGACACCATCACACACATAGACAGAAACATTCAAGCCTATAGCTAAAAAGAAATTTACAAATGGTCCTTTTTTCCCTAAAAACTGTAAAACAATGGAATTTACTTTGACATTCTTTGATTCCTTCCACTTCAGTATATATTTTTTCCAGAGAACAGCCATCTGTTCTCTTCACTCTCATTGTCATTTCATTTTTTATTTTTTAATAACCCAAATGTTGTAAATATCTAATTATAAAGACAACCTTTATATTTTCACCCACAAGCAAGCAAGTAATCTTCATTGACTTGAAGTTTTATAGTATATTGTAGAAAAAGGAAAATGTGATCAATTTCTGCATACCTTGCATTGCAAAATTTGACATAAAAATTGCCTTTTAACTTGGTTTTTTGAGGGAATGATAGCCATTAAACCTTGTGTGAGTTATCTCTCTTAGGCATTTGAACCTTTAAGAGCGAGTTTTTCTATGTAATGTTTATTTGCTGTTCATTTACTTATATATTAAACACTATTTCTTCTCCAGAAACTATTCGTTTGCAACTTAAGTCCAACAAACTAAATTTTTATCAAAATATCCTTTATCAACCTCTGTTCTCATCTGATATCTTCACAAAAGTTGAGAATTTTGCCTATTGCTAGTAAGAAACTGCTAGTTAGAAGAATCTGGCAAGAAACCAGATGAAATAAGTATCCCCTCTTGATTAAGAGATGTTCTATGCACTGATTAAACCTTGTACAATTTACCCAACTTTTCCCATGCTACAACATGCTCTGATATGAATATACTGCATATGTGACTGTGGTTAGATTAAAGTGACACAAAATTTTGCATGTTATTGCCTTGAAAAAGTCAATTTATGAAAGAAACTGTATTCTAGAAGTTTAGATAGTGTACTTTATATACTCTGTGGGTACTTACCTGCTGGTTTTAAACCTTTGCAAATTTCTGTGTAGAATCGTCTGTCATATCCATCACAGTACTCCCAGTTTTCTTCTTCATATGCCAATCCATCAGCAAATGTGTATTTTCCCTGTGGATAAAAATGTAACTCTATGACATTTATAACATCTAATGGATAGATTCTTAAAATATCAAGTAATTCCGTTTTTTAATTAAAAAGTTTTATCTGTTCTTAAAAAATGTAGATTTTTTTATTCTAACACGCAAAATAAAATTTTATTTTTAGTATGCAGTCAGTTGAATTCCTTACCTCTACAGCTATGCCATTTTCCCACGTAGCATCATATTTACTACCATTTGGGAAAAACAAGGTTCCTTTACCATGAAACATGCCATCTTTCATTTCCCCTTCATATTTTGTTTCCGTAGGAAATTCATATTTCCCTTTTCCCTCAAGTCTGCAAGTATATATTAGAAAATTAGTGTGAAATTTTCCTAAATCAGATTTGATACACAAGAACAATCTCCTATGCAGAGTTATCGTTCGTTCCTCTCTCAGACACCTCTGCAATGGGCTTGCGTCAAGATTTTTGACATAACGTAAAAAACATAATATTTCAAGGATTATTTCAAATTAAACCAATAGTTTTAGATCTATTTAGTAAATATCTATCTTTAAGGAGTATCATTAGCTCAGACATTAATTATAATGAATTTAAAAAACTGCACTATTTTTTGTGCTCATCACTGTGATATACGTGAGCCAACGACAGAGGTGAATGTATGAGCCGATGGTAGAGAGTGACACAAGAAAAGATGAATTCATTGCACAGTACATAAAAAAACTTAATAATTTTTATATGAATAAAATATTACATTTTACTTTAGAAATATCAATATGAAATGATTGAAGCAAAAGTTGATTAATACTAAGGGGGGATTTTTTAAAACACTTTTCAGAAATATTAAGTAATTTAAAAAGAGTGACAGGTTACAGTCTTTAATACGGTCAACATTAGATAAATCTGCATTTAGAGGACTCATTTTGCACTGTCCTGTAGTACGCTGCCTCATGATTTATATGGTCATTACTTGATTTATGAAGTATTCAGCAAGAGAAAAGCTAATCAGCAACTCGTCTCATGCAGATTTAACTCTTTTCATACGAACCGGGTTTTAATAACTTTATTATTCAACAATGTCTTAGGAATCACTCTATAGTATGAGGGACGATGTACACAAGAAGAGGTTTTTACCATCAAGTGGAAATAGAAGCCAAGATTCAAGTATTTATTGATGATAATGTCAAACTAATATTCAACAATGAGAGGTTTTATAAGAATGACTCTATTTAAACTGAATTATGAAAATAAAATGACTCAAATCATAAGTCACAACAAATTTTCTTGTGTCGAGTAAATTCGGTCGTTCTTAAAAAATAATTTTCTCAAGTTTGGTTGGTATTTCTTTGATATTGGCCGCTTGCCACGACATAACGTAGCAATTTTGTGTATTTATTCTCAAAGAATTTTAAAATAAGTCTTAAATAAAACAGATATACCTTCCATTTTTGTAATCGCCTTCGTATTTGCTTCCCGTGTACTCCATATTGCCGCTTTTTGTTGTCAAGAGAAACGGAGCACACACAAAACCATTTTCGACGGAGAAAATATTTCCGTACAATCCAAGATACTTCCACCCTCACGCATTTATGAGTTCAAAGTAGAAAAAAAACAGCTTTGATTTAACATTTTTAGTTTATTGTAAATAATAATCACAATAAATGGATACACAGTACTTTCGTCGCCATCTTTTTATGACGTCGGCTATAACATGTCAACATCAAAAACTTGCATACTTTCCTTAAAAAGTGAAAAACGGGTCCAAACGACTTAATTTTAATTTAACAATTCTAAATAAATATATATCAACTATCAATTTTGGATAGATATTTACTAAGTTGAAGTAAGTACAACATTTACAACATCGTCAAGTTAAATAATAAATTAACATGGTTGACGGCATAACCCCACCTATTTTACCTCATTTAAAGAAAGCATTGCGCATTGGTGCTGGTTAATAATACCATGCATGTTATCTGTGACGTTTGTTTAAATGACGTAATATATTTTGCATTCAATTAACAACAATCGACATTTTTCGATTTCCTTTTTTCCTTTTTTTTTTTTTTTTTTTGCTGAGTCACTCAGGTTTTTGTCCGTCGTCTTGCGTCGTGCAATGTGTGTTAATATCTGAACATTTTTAGCTTCTTTTCTGGAACTGCTTCAGACCATTTTGGCATATAGTATTTATGGGTAAAGGGGAACAAAATAGTGAAATGCAATGTCCCTGCCTCCCTAGGGCCTGAGGGGTGGGCTAAATTGCCTAAAACCGTCAAAATAAACGCAATCTTTAAAAATCTCCTTCTTTAACTCCTGGTTGAACATTGGCATGATTGTAATAAGCATTGAACCCCTACCAAAATTGTGAAATTCTTGGTCACAAAGTCAATGGTTCTGGTGTTAGGGTGAGGCTCTGTGAATCATATAGTGAAAATGCATTAATACTTCAAAAATATTCTCTCTCCCTGTGTATTTAGCAGACAAAGTACATAGATAGGATGAGCAAGAGTGCCTCTTCCAAAATTGTGAAATTCATGGTCCCTGGGTCAGGGGCTCTGGTGTTAGGGCGGGGGTCTATTGATTATATGGTGAAAATGCATTAATTCTTTAAAAATCTTCTTTGCTCCTGGGTTTCGGGCAAATAAACTAAGTTGCATGATTATGATGAGAAAGAGTACTCTATCCAAAATTGTGAAATTGATGGTAACTGAAATAGGAGTTCTTGAGTTTGGGTGGGGCTCTATTATGATCATGTATGGAAATATTTACTCTGCTATAAGAGAAGTTATTCCCCTCTGTTATTCACTTATGATAATTATTCAATGTAAACAATGTAATTGATACGTAAATTGAATAAAAAAAATATTCAAGAACTTTTAATACATAACCTCTGAATTCCTGTCTACTTTGACGTGTTATATAATTAATGAATATTTTCTTTATTTTGGGGATAACTCGCTTGTTGTGAGTTCATTCATTTGTGTCAGCAGTCATAACAACAAAGTTCATTTTGAAATAAAATTTTTGGAAAGACAATACAAAAAGCAATTTTTAGTTTTTACTAGTCAGGTAGACTTGTAAATAATAGATGAATAAAAAAGAGACAAAAATACTACATATATATATACATTAATTATTATTCAAAGACCAAGAGATGCCACTAAGGTATTTTGATGTAGTTCATTTAGTACTTGTGCCATTTTGTGGGTGTAGTGCCCCCCCCCCCCACTCTGCTTATTTCAAAAACTTCTTAGGTGCCAATTATAAGAGAATCACTAGAATAAAAAGTAGGCAACATCAGTAGTATATATTATGTCTTTCATGTTAAACTATTTTAAGAAAATATGTTATCAATAAATAATTACTATGTATTTGGCACACTAGCCGTTTATATGGTTAAGGTTGGTGAACTAACGATACCAGTTCCTAGAGGACATTGGATCCAGAAGCTTCCTAGAAATCAAATAAGTTAGTGATTACATTTACCAGACCAGACGGCATACGATACATGCAAAGTCAGCATGTACCGGGGATGCTATAGAACATTGGATATTGAAGTTACCCAGACGAAAACCTTACTAGCTGCCAAGAGCAAGGCAAACAGTCACGCCATTGCGATCTTGAATCTTCGAAAATAACAAGTTTTTGGCTATTATATGAACACAATGCACCATGTTCAGCATCGATTTAATGGCCAAGAAGTTGCAATGGGATCATCTCTTGTGAAAACTTATTAATACTGAATACCAAAACCTTGCTCCAAGCTATTAATGTCTTCAAACAGTGTTCTATATTGCTCTCTATACATTTTAAATGAAAATACATTGTATAGTGCATTGACGAATGAGAACACAATCTGATGAATTTAAGTCAGTTTTCAAAACGATATTTTTGATATATGTGAAATATAATTGGTATTATTGAGAAGAATTCCATAAAAATCAGCTTTTGAATTCGATATTTATTGTTTTAATTTAGAAGTTCCCTCGCGGAGGGATTTTGATTTTTGTGAAATTATTAGGAAGATTCTGTGAAATTCGTTTATAAAAAGTGTACATATTTTTTCTACCAGAAATACAATTAAATTAAATCTAATTTGGTTATGGGTTCTACTTGTTTTGTGTTACGTAACTAATTCCCATGGAATCTTGCTGTTAGCTAAATTGGGTTCCCGTTCATGCAGCCTGCGAGAAAATAATAGTATCTGCACAGTAATGATTTTGTAAGTTGAAAGCACAAAGGGTATGCAAACTTAAAATCAAATTTTGTTTAAATATCAAAATTATAGTTTGCACCAATTCAAGCTACTGAGTACAATGTAGCTTGAATAGCTTCATAGTTCAACCATGCTTAATTCAGATTTTAGAAAACCTGTGCATATGTAATTAAGATTTTTTTTTTTTTTTTTATAAAAAAAAGTTCTGATTTACATTTGCTGAATAAAAAAATGAATTTAAAATTCAAAAATCTTCGAATATAATAGACGAATATATAATAAAATTTTATACTGGCGCCTTTACATAAAAAAAAAGGAGGCCCCGCTTCCCTGCTCCGTCAGTCGATATAATAATTAACGGCGGATTTAGAGGGGGCAGCCCCCCCCCCTTTTGTGATCAAAAATATAAATATGATTAATAAATCAAAATTTTGGTGTTGGTACATTAAGTACACCTAAAATATAGCTAAAATAAGTCCAAAAAAAAAAAACTGCTTCAAAAAAACTCCTAAAACCCGAGAGCTTCCGGAGGTTTCCCCCCTCGGCCCCCACCCCGATCCCAAACTGGTTGCCCCCATTTCAAGAATCCTGGATCTTCCCTGAACATATTGACCTATAAATTTAAGAACATGAAGATGACCCCTCCCTCTTCCGCCTTTGATATTTAGCAAGAAAGAAAAACAGAACAAAATCATATTTCTTTTACCAGTTTTCAATAAGTCAAAAAGATTTAAATCGACTAACTGAAGGTTCGTATTTATTACGACACATAAAGCCCTCTGTGTTTAAGTATGATTTGATTCCTTACCGAGTCTGTTGGAACGTCTCTGTTTCACATAGATTTTAAATGAAATATGGCTAGACTTTTTATGATACTTACGTATAGATTATATTACACAACACTCATTTCGATATCCCACGCAAGGCCCGAAAATATTCTTATAAGACAAGAAAACCAATACTGAGAGAAGTAATAAAAAAATCTTACTGAAAAATTGATATGGGGTCATTTGTTTAAAAACGGTAAACGAGAAAGTTAATTGAAACTAAAGTTATATGTTTATGCAGTTTTTAATACAGTTGAACGCTCATTTAACTTCTAATTCTAGCCAAATAAAGCGCCTCGCTTTGAACTGATATGTTATTTTGAATACAAAGCAATGATTGAAGTGCCACGCTTTTGACAGTATACATGTATATTTAAGGATAATCCTCATTATAAATTGCAATCGTTTCTCAAGATGCTTGAATTATACACGATCTCCTATTACTGAAAAAATGGAGGGGGGAGAATTGGTCATCAGTAGATAACTGCACAAGGAGAAATAAAATGCTCTTGGAAAGCTCTCTTTCCCGACGAACCAATTTTATGACGTCAGATCACTGCCAGTCAAATCAGACTCGGGGCTATAAAACTTAGGTGAGCTCACTTTTTGATCTCAGTCTCACTTTTACAAAAGAAATTTATTGTGGAAATCAAAAATATCCCTTTTTATGACGTCATAAAGCTGTATACTGAATTTCCAATGCCCAACTATCTTAAGCATTTGTGACGAAAAAATGAAGGCTAAATAAAATTAACATAATTATTTATAATTTAATAATTTCTTTTTATAAATAAGGCTTTTATGAGATAGGAAAAGTCTCCTTTTCCACCACAAGGTACCAGTCTTTTATTTGACACTTTGCTTGGGATATAAAATACAGATGTAAAGTTCAAATGAAAATGTAAAAATAAATTCTTGTCATATACTCGTACATATAAACTCTTGTGTATATTATGTGTAAGTGATTAAATTTATAACAGCATACGCTTCATCTGACATATTTTCTATCTGTTTAAATATGTATTATGACTACTTTAAGGTAGCATGTAAATATTTATTGCTTATAATGATATCATAATTATTGCCTCAAACGGATAACCCTCATGTGATAAAAAATCTGTGCGTCGAGTTGGTCATTGTTAAAGATGAATGAATCTAGATGAGTCACGTAAAAAAAAAGAAAATTAATTATAGTGAACACATTTGGAAACTAGGACCATATTTGATGATAATAGGAAATCAGACGCTGTGGGTGTCAAAAACCACAGCACAAGTTATCACCACACCCTCTGCCATATCACAGTGTCTCGTCATTTTGCTCTGGGGTGCACTCCAAAAAGCCATTGTCCTGCTTGTCTTCTCGACAACTGGACAGGTACTTATTCGCATACTTTTAGCAAGAATACTTTGTTTAAAGGACAATTTTATATTGATGAGAAATTAAAAATATGCTGTACTAAC